CCTGGTTCTCGGGAAATGCTTTGTAAAGATTGTAGCTGCACAATCGTTACAAACCGGAATGGTCTTCCGACAAAAATCTCAATTGCTATTTCACTTTGTATCGTAAGCTTGTCGTTCACTTCGTCTATTTCAACGAACCTTGTTGTTCTTATTTTTTTTTTCATTTTCAGTTGTCGCGAAATCTCAAGGTCGCGACGTGTCTTTTTTTAACGAAATTTTACAAATTAGCTTTAAGCTATAAATTAACCCTTCCGTGTTCGTCGAAATGAACGATTAAGACCCTCTAATTCGTTAAAACCGTTAATCTGCCCACTCCGATCTAACAATAAAATTTCGAATTCGATTTTGCATTTCCGTACATTCTGGTCGAACGTCACAAATTATGTTCCGTGTCTCATTCCGTCAGATTGACACAGCCGAACCCTCCGAAGAGCAAGAAAAAGAACATTAGCGTTGTTAATGACAAACTTATCACAAAAAGGAGGGTCGGAATATTCTAGAAGGAAGTTTTTCAAAATTTGAGACCCAGCTATGAGATTATCTTTCCATGCAAACGGAAGCTGATCAAAAGTTATTTGACTGATGGCCTAAAAATGGTAATTTTTACATAGCCCTGAACAGACCAGAAATCTACCTGCTAAGTCTAGGCGGTGAAAAACGAGTAGCAATTAGGCAACTGACGCCGGCCAGTCGTCAATAGGTGCTTTTTCTACGCTCCGTCACTATGTAGTATTTGGGCGAATGTTACACCGATTTACGAACCCCTTCTAATCACAAGCGTGAAAAGTCCTCAAACACGCACAATCATTTCATAAACGTTTCAATACGTTCTCGAGAAAAACTGATATGTAACTCGGGTCTCGGCGGTTATAAAAAAAAACTTGCGACACAACCTCTTGCAGTACACCAAAGCCAAAAAAACTTCAAAAAAATGAACACAGAGAGGAAGCTGAGCTTCGCACCACTTTCAATACAAAACATAATGCATAAAAAGTCTGAACGGAAAAGTGAAAAACTGAAATGAATTTAAAACAATCTAATGTTATAACAATCAAGTAACGTACACAGAAAAAGGATTGGTGCTACGCAATTTCAATTCTTTTTTTTTGTCATGACCTTGGTTTTTTTCTCACGTTTTGGAGTCCCAAATGATCCTAAATGAAATCAAAAATATTGATGAACAATTTGCAACAAAACAACCTGCATTGGGGTTAAGAAAGTGCCCTTTTCTCTAATTGCTATAATGTAGCATCATACTGAAAAATTACATAATCACAGAACTAAAAACAAACGAATGCAAAAGTTTCCAACAACTGCTACAAAAAAAAACTTGAATTGCCACAAAAAAAGTAACTTGATGAAATCCTGATAACAAACTCTGAAAGCCAAAAAATAAACCAATTACATCAAATACTAAAATGGTACGCAAAATTTTCAAAACAAAAGCAAATAACATCACATCTGTAGTCAAGTACAAATTGTGATAACACTCGCATATCCTGCTGTTAGAGGAATTATTCACATTGCTCGAGGGGATGTTGAGTTTGTCGGAACTTGGTGAAGGAGTTGAAGTATGATTAGGGATTATGCCTTTTCGTTTCGGTTTACTGACTTTTTTGGGGTAGCTGTCGACTTTTGCAAAACTGTTCTCCAGCAGAAAAGTTTTTTGTGCTGCCAGTTATCGACAAAATTCGCCAGCGGCGCCAGCTTGAATTGATACTAATTGATGAACTTATACTAATCGATACCGAATCGATTGAATCCATACTAATCAAATTCTGAAGGATTCTTTGGTTTTTTTTTCAGGTTTTTAAACATACCCAGATTGTATTTTTTTTCTACAGATGCATGTGTAACAGAAAAAGTGCTTTCCGAATCTCTTGAATATGAAAAGTAAGTCATAATTCGGCAAATCATGAGCGGTCACTAAATTGTAATTCGTTGTTTGTCTATTAACCGTTACACAAATTATGCGTCCAACCCAGAAACTTTTTCGTGTAATTGCAATGATCAAATGCCAATTGATCTATGTCTGAAAAAATCTTAACGCTTATGCAACAAACCGCAGCAACTTCTCGTTCGTGCCTGTTACATTGGTGAAAGTGTAGTACTTTTTTTTCTACAAAAATTTGTCTCGCTGACGATTCAAAGGAGGTAATAAGCTTAAGCTAGTCCATCACATCCGGTCCTTTTTTAAGATCAAACGTTAACAGGTCTTTTTTTTCCCAAATTCAATTTAAAAAACGTCAGAATAAAGCGTAGTCGCATTATTGATAGACTTTAAATGTTTGCTTGCTAGATTTCTGCGGATCAGACTGCGGTCTGTCAACTTGCAAGATCAGTGACTTCAAATCGTAGTAAAATATTCTGGGAACGAACCATCGAGCTGTTCAGTTTTTAAGCTTGAGGTCATCTTTTCTGGGATTGGGCTCTGTGTTGACGACATCTTTGTCTTGCTATCGCAGTTCTAGATGTCTTTTCAGAGTTTCGAAAGAAGTGCTTGTTTAAAAATATTTGCAGCAAATCTCAGGTTGAATCGACGCAACTTGTGGTCGCCCGTACTCAGCCAGTTTCTGGAGACCCTTTATCAGCACATATTAATACTTTGACCCATTTTTCTACAGCAACAAGACACGATCAGACTGGCAGTGGTGAATCTGTTCGATACTCTTAAGGGTAACGGTTCGCCTTCGTTGAACCTGGACAGAAATTTAAATTTAATATCTAGATTTGGTTTGGAATATGAAAGTAGTTTTGGATAGGGGAAGAATAAAAATGAAGAACCAATAAGATTTTCAAAAGTCATGCAGAGGTTGCTTACCGAAAGACGTAGATTTGACAATTGTTCAGCTTTTCAAATCTGCCCATATCCATCACACCCAATGGCTTTTTGTATTCCCTATTCACTTCACAGTTCCTTTTTGTCGAAATCTTAAGTTGTGGCATGTTGCAGCAAAGCAGTATAGAAAGCAACGTTCATCATCTTTAGTTTCGATATTCGTGAGCAGAGTAGAAGCAGCGCTGTGGGCATCATGTAGCTGGAGGTAGGAACCTGCTCTTATTGGCGAGAAGACCGCGAAACTGGTTTGCAGTGTTTAATTCTATTGATAATCCATCCACTGCCATGCGGAGAGAATGAGTTGACTTCGTTGACCATATTTTCAATCAATCAGTTCCAACTATTGGTCCTCAGCTATTTCCTCGAAATACACGGTCAATGTCTTCATAGTTCAGATCAGCATGGTCCTTCCTTTCGTAGTTTCCAGTGTTCCGTCTCGCACTGTGGGGTTTTTGATCTTGCCCACAGAATTGACCTTTGTTCAGGAAATCGTTGAGCCTTTGCAGTATGAAAGCATCAATTTCCTACTTGTTTTGCACTCATCATGACTTGAAGCAAGTCCATTTCTTTTTCACCAAATTTGAGATCGTATCAGCGCATTTTCCCTCTGAACGTGCTTTCCGTCGGCGCAGCGGAAGAGTCGTCTCGATGCCATCCCAAACTGGCAAGACGTGTTTGTTCAGCAGATATTGTTGATAGCTTTCTGCAGTGAGAATTAGACTCAAAGAATTTATACTAAAAGACTCCTTAATTCACAGCCTTAAATTTTGGTGTTAAATTGAGAGTAGACGCTTAAAATGTTTATAACACGAAATACATGGCGCGTTACTTGTCCCAGATTGGCCAACTTGTCAATGTTTAAATCCTATAACTTTACAAAAATTATCACAGGAGAAAAACTTTTTTTAAATTTGAGATCAGGATAACAATACGTTATGAATAATAATTCAAAAATTCATCAAAAAATTGCTATTTAAAGAAGCCAAATTTATCTGGAGTAAGAAACCATCCCGAACACCCAACCACAAGTAGTCGGAAAAAAATTGTTTTATAGTCGGATCAAAAACTGTTCTCGGTGGATTTTTTTGACACAAGTTTGGGGCTCTGAGAATTGTCATTTCTACCAGCTTCGATAATTTAAGGCGGGCGCATTATTTCCAGGTTTTCATTCACGTGTAGGCGGTGAATTCATCCCGCTGGTAAAACATTCCAAAATAAATCAAAAATGCCAACTGGTCCAATTTATGCGTTCTTAAGAATTAGAAAATTTGAAATTTTCATATATTCCTTCTTATTTTTAAAACAATTACATATGAATACCAAAAATATCACAGCATTCACACCTAAATGGCTTATGGCGCCTTAAGAACATTTTATGGCGCCTTAACGTTCTCTAATTGAGATTTGAGTTGATTGGAAAAATTTGCCTGATTGCTATACTGCTATACTTTCTACAAAACTGCGCTGAAAATGTTTCCGCATATAATAGTACACCGCCATGTAACTCGCAACACTCCGAAACATACCGTTTTTTAGCATGACTGACTATCAAGCATTTTATGTAAAAAGCTTTGATTATATTTTTGAAAGCGGTTGCAATTTGAATGGAGAATGAAACGGTGAAGAAAATTCATTTCTGACGTACCTTTCATTATTTCGTTTCAGAAGCAGTCTTTTATCCATTTTGGTAGTCGCATGATGCGCTCTTGAATTAGATTCACTAATGAAAAATACTACCACATTGGTTTCATAAAATTATGCTGCGCAACCGTTACCTGTCTTTTACGATGCTAGGTAAAAATGACGACAGGGCATTAAGTGATATAATAATGAGACGCCATATGAGCGTTTAAACGTTTAAAACGAGCTGTTGGAATTTAAGCGGTTTACATTTCTCAATAAAAATGAAGAGTTGTGTGGGACTGAAAGTCCCAAAAACCGTTGTCGTCTCAACAGCCGTCGTCTTATTTGCAGTTTTCTAGGAAGAGATTTCGCCTTAATCACAGGATGCTGTTTCTATATTATCGTTTCCTTTTTTTAACGTCCCAAATATGTTATCGGCTCATAGTTTTCCCCCTATTTCAAAGTAAGGGAAAAAAGTATTTAATTGTGGGGATGTTTTGTTGACTATTGAATAAAAATTTTCTAAATAATAAGCGAACGCAAAAAGCGATTGAGTCCTTGTAGCGAAATATAAAAAATAGAAAAGTCCCTTTCTCTATTAAACTACTTCATTTATCACGCCTTTTAAACTGAATAAGCAGTTTAAGTGAACTTTCGATGTACATGAAAATTAATTTTGTTTAGTCTGACGACGCCGAGGCTTTGGCTCCTTCTGCGTGAATTTACTGATATTTACTTTCTTCGTCTAACTTTTTAACATTAAATGGCTGTACGTTCGTACTATTGAAACAGAAAATTTGATTTGAGCATTTGAAAGCTATTAATTCTTTCAAATCAATTGTACGAAGTTGAAAAATGTATTTTACTTTCTCGCTATTACAGTCTTGCAACTAAAAACAAACTGATGACAGCTTAAACAAAAAAAAAAACAGTCCAAATTTGACCTCAGAAAACTTGACCGAAAATAAAAAAAAACCGACGTTATGAGTTCGCCACCAGCTGTCGCGGCGATCAAGCAACCCACAGAAGTTGACCTGAGGAAGAAGGATTCGACATCAAGTTCAACTATAGTCACCACCCGGGAAAGCTCCTCGGATGGAAGCGGAGGCGAGGATGACGCCTGCAACTTCCTGAACTGCGGTTGTCTGGAGACCTTCTCTAACGTTGTAACTGGATTCATCGAGGGCATTTTCTACAAGTAAGAGTTGATTTTATTATGTTTTTTTTCTTACGTTTCGGTCTTTGCAGGAGAGCCCAAGATTCGAACCAGACTCCTTTTGTGCCAAATGTTCTAAAGATGATTTTTTCCAAGATACCGTCCACAATAGGTCTTCAGCTGGTAACTGCAGTAAATTGCTCATTATTTTACAATTTTGAATTGAATCGAGAATAAACGACAGCGTCGCTCAAGTTATCTATCGACATTCCTGAGGAGTACTTCATTTTATTTGCACACCCAACTCCGGTGGTTAATTTCCAATGATGAATGACCCTGCTTGGCTTTTTTTAACAGGATCGGCCTGTTCACTGGATCCTATCCCTGGGCAGGTATCCTGATTGGTCTGGCCATTTTCTTCATTCCTCTGGCAGGCATTGCCCGCTACAACGAGGAGACAGACGGGTCCAAACTGTGGGTTCCTCAGGACTCAAGGTAGAACTCTACTTTTGCAAGAGAAAAAACTTTTTGTCATAGAAATCGGATAGATCATAGAAGTTTAGTTAAAAAAACAGTTTGATTTCTAATTCTAAACACAAACAGATATATAGCAAAACTTCCATGCCGAAGTAGAAATTTCAATGACAATTCAAATCTCGAAATCGATTTAAAGTTAAATGTCATTTAACTGCATATAATGTCAAAACAATCCAGCTTACTCTTTAAAATAAAATTCTAGATGAAAATGTTTTAGCACTCTATAATTGTTACTAAATAATGACAACTTTGATAATCTTGATTTCCAAACCAGATCAAATCCAGGCACTTCATTAATTTTTCAGATAATTTTGATCTATTTTAAATGCCAAATCGTCTGTAATCTTTTCGTTGGCCAACAAAATTTAGACCTCTAGACACAAAATTGACGCATGATTTTGAGCTCCTAGAAATTTTGGGCACGAATTAAATCAAATTTGAATTCTCGATGAAAAATCAATTAAAATATTCTCCTGGTCTCGGCTCCTATTAGGTAAAAGCTGCTATCTTTAACGTTTGAAACGAATTTTTCCCTTACGGTGCTGATTTAAATTATCCTGACATAACGAACAAAACTTGGAACTTAAGACGCGTTGTTCACAACTTAAGTTGGCGTTAGACAAACCCCGGAGAAGTATAATTTGTTTTGCAAAAATTGGGCCTAAATTTTACCCCAAAATCAATCAATTTTAGATTTTTTAGTCACTGTAAAAATACGACATTACTTTCCGTTTTATTGCTCTAAACACTTAATCAAAATGAGCCTCTTTTTTCGCCTAACAAAGCTTAAGAGGGGTATAAGCTCTAAAAGTTTGAGCAAAACATTTCAAATCTGTTTAGACAAAAAATTGATTTTTATTTAGTATGAATGACATTTTTTGGCAATTGATCAAGCAAAAATCAATTTATTTAGGCTAAATTTCAAAAGTATAGTGCTAATTTAAAATTTTGGAACAAATAGGATTGGACAAACGAGCAAATAGGATTGGAGTTTTAACTTTCCATTTTATTTCGTTTTTTTCCGGATAATTTAAGTTAGGATATTCGTATAATTTGTTTGGCCACATAAGAGGCTTATTTTGATGTAGTTTCGACAACAATTGAACCGACAGTTCTGGCATAATTTTTTTTATTCTCTAAAAAGCCGAAAACTTATATGATGTTGAAGTAATCGAAGCTATGAAAAAACAGGATAATTTTCGAAGATCTTTTGCTTGATGGGGATGTTTAAAGTTATAAACTTTTGTAAATTGATTCACAAAATAGGCGAGCACGTTTTGTGGGGGGGTTTGGATTTTCAAAAAATTTTCGAAACTTTGTCGACCTTTTTTTGATTTTCCGAGCTCTCCTTGAGCAACAAAAAGTCCATGTTTTGACCAAAATTTCTGCACAAAACTTGAAAAATTAACTCATAACACTTTAATTTGTGAATTGGGTAAGCTGAAAATATTGTTTTCCCAAAGTGTTCCAACTTAAGTTTTAATGGTTTTCACTTAGTCAGGATCGAAGAATCAATTTGAAACTGTGTTATTGTAAAATTTAAAGCTCTAGTCGGCTCCAAAAAAAAAACAAGACTGCTCGTATCAGGGCGAAGCCCTGAATGTTCCGACTGCCTATTAAGGTTTATGGAGCAGTAATATCAATAAAAACTAAAAGTAATATAACACAATAATTTTTTTTTCTTCAAAAATTTGAAGTTTTTTATAAAAATCATCCCCCCACACGCCATATAAAGTACAAAAGGATAGATTTCGCTACTTGTAACAAATCAATTATGGCAAATAAGCTTCGTTGAATCAATTTGGAACAATTTTTAAGACGGATTAACTCTCCGCTTACGCGTTAATAGCGCGAAATATATCGCGCGTTAATTGTCCCAAATTGGCCAAAATGGCAATTTTTAAACCCCCATAACTTTACGAAAAATGATCACAGGTGAAATATCTTTTCAAATTTGAGCTCAGGACAACAATACCTTTCGAATGATATAAAATAACTCCGTCAAAAATTGCTAGTTAAAAAGTCGAAATTTGTCTGAAGAAAAAAAACCCACCCGAGCACAAATATTCCGTTACTTTCGTATCGAAAGTCGGAACAATTATTGCGAACACACTTTTGCCTGCAATTATTCAGCAAAACAGTTTCGTAAATTTTTTCTTACGGCTTTGAAAAAATGGACGGAATATTTAGACCAATTAGGGCCTGTGCAGTTTTTGTTCAGACCAATTGTGATTTTTAATCATCTGATAAAAATCTTTGCATAGAGCTCAAATTAAAACTATATGATAATTTGTGATGTAATAAGACTTTGAACAAGGGCAGTTTGACTGTGTGGGGATAAACAAGTGCGCTCAATTTTCAATTCTTAAATCAAAATGCGTAGCAGAGGCAGCAAAAAAAACCGCTCGTATATCGGACCAAAGCGCTGAAAGTTCCGAGTGCCGTCTAATACATATCGAATAGTTTTTGGGGAAAATATTGAAAAACAATAATGTTTGGACAATATAAAATATCAAGAATGAAGGTTTGAGTCGTACGAAATTATTACAACCGATTAGCTATCCTCACTTCATATTAACACGATTTCGTTGTGCGGGTTAATTCGCCACGAATAATTAACTCGCGTTACGCTTTCAATATTATGAAGAAAATCTTCAAAGCGCTTATAAATTATCCCAGATCATCGCCATATTGGCAATTTCCAAACCTCCAAATTTTTGCAAAAAGAACGTTGGAAGTAAAATATATCCTTAAATCGAATTTCAGAGAGTCATTATTTTCAATGGGGCAAATAAAACTTTGTTAAAACTATGATTTCGATTGCCGTAAAGTGACTGAAGGTACGCTCGTTCATAGAAACAAGACTGCTCGTATATCAAAGCAAAGCCCTGAATGATCCAACTTTCCCATATCGAATTTTTTTCCGGAAAATAAAATATTGACAAACTTTAAATTTTCGACAATAGCAAATGTCAAGTGAGAAATTTTGAATCTTACGAAACTGATACTACCGATTACCTAGCCTCAATTCAATTTGGAACAATTTTGTTGTGCGGAATAATTCACCATGCATAAGAAATTCGCTTTACGCTTTCACGGTGATAGATAAAATCCTCAAAGCGCACATAAAATAGTCCAGAGTATACCCAAAATATATTGGCCATTTTCAAACTCCCAAAATGTTGCAAAAAAGATCGGAAGTAAAATGTTTTTAAATTTGATATCGGATTGTCGATATCTTCATTTGGGCATAATTTTTTTTGTTAAAAACTATTATTTTGATCACCGAAAACTGACTGAATAAAAGAGAACCACACCAAGCTTAAATATTCCGTTTTGTTCGAAAATTGGAACAACAACGTTTCGATTTGTGCCAAATAAGTCTCTGTGTAGTTTACATTGAGTGTGGGGAAACTAATTCAAAAATATTCACTTTTCTTTTTTTGCCTGCATTTTAAAATATATGCAGAAAGTTTGCTCAAAAGAGATAAAAGCGCAGCTCAAAATTTCTGGTCGACTTTTCTTTTTTGTTCCGACTCTTCTAACGAAAGTAATGGAATGTTTGTGCTCGGGGTGGTTTTTTTCTTCAGACAAATTGCGACTTTTTAATTGGCCATTTTTGATGAAATTTTTTTGAATAAAGGTATTGTTTCCTGAGCTTAAATTTGAAGAGGTAATTCATCTGTGATCATTTTTTGTTTAGCTATTGGGGTTTGAAGGTTGCCATTTTGGCCAATTTGGGATAATTAATGAGCGATGTTTTTCGCGTTAATAATGCGTGAGCGGAGATTTAAATCGTCTTAAAAATCGTTCCAAATTGGTTGAAGGAAGATTATTTGGCAAAAATTCTTGTTACTGTGAGCGAATTTATCACTTTGTACTTTATGTGTGGGGGGATAATTTTTGCAAAAAGAATCTCAAATTAAAAAAAGTTCATTGTATTCTTATTATATTTAATTTTTTCATGTTATTACTGCTCCATAGACCTTAAAAAGGCAGTCGGAACATTCAGAGCTTCACCCTGATACGAGCAGTCTTGTTATACGTTTATCATACAAAAGTAACAATTTTTGTTAAACATTCAAGTCTAATTGAAGAGAATTCGAATCCAATTATTACCAAGTCTTTGGAAAATGGCCCGATGTTGGCGCAAATCAGTGGTGGGAGGCGTGGTAATTTTGGGCGTCAAAAAAACTCGTAAGTAGTACCAAATAAGGACGACTTGCCTATTGAGGGGGTCAAATCTCTATACTATTTGCCTGGTTAGTGGGTCAAAGCTGTAATCAATTTGGCTGGTGAGCGGGTCATATCGCCCGACTCCTGCCTACATACGCTACTGGCCACATGAATCAAAATCTTTCACGCTCAATTCATCCGTTAATTCCTTGTGGTCGAAAGGATGCTGTTGAAAATGCTCAGCTGCCTCAGATAATCCAGATTTCTTCAAAAATCGGAACGGTCGAAGAGACCTTCAACAAAGCTGAAAGTAATATTCGGTTTGGTTGTTGTTTGCAGGGCAGTTGCGGACTACAGGCGGTCCACTGACTTGTTCCCTGGCTACCAGAGGATAGCACAGGTCATAGTAGTGGCCACAGATGTGCTGGACTCCGCCATACTCACAGAAGCACTCACTCTAGATGAGAAGATCAAAGCCATAACTGTGCAGAGCGGAAATCAAAATGTGAGTAAAGTGATTAAGTTGAATCAAACGTAAATTTAAAAACGTTTAAATATGTTTGCGATATGCCAGTGAACATTTGTGTAAGTCAGCCATTTTGTTCTGAAAATTGACCCGCAAACGAAATAGTGTACTTTACCGTATTTGTAGCGTTTTTTGCCTTTTCGTAAAGGCAGGCTTAAAAGAAAAATTTTCTTTTGATCTTTTTTTGACAAATAAATTGATCATTTCTGGCTTACAACTTTTCCCGGCTGTATCAAACTCCCAAGGATGGACGAAACTTATTATTTGCTGCCTCTGTCCTTATTTCTTTCAGGAAGGCTGGTCACGTCGTCCCAACACCCTTCCTGGTTCTCGGGAAATGCTTTGTAAAGATTGTAGCTGCACAATCGTTACAAACCGGAATGGTCTTCCGACAAAAATCTCAATTGCTATTTCACTTTGTATCGTAAGCTTGTCGTTCACTTCGTCTATTTCAACGAACCTTGTTGTTCTTATTTTTTTTTTCATTTTCAGTTGTCGCGAAATCTCAAGGTCGCGACGTGTCTTTTTTTAACGAAATTTTACAAATTAGCTTTAAGCTATAAATTAACCCTTCCGTGTTCGTCGAAATGAACGATTAAGACCCTCTAATTCGTTAAAACCGTTAATCTGCCCACTCCGATCTAACAATAAAATTTCGAATTCGATTTTGCATTTCCGTACATTCTGGTCGAACGTCACAAATTATGTTCCGTGTCTCATTCCGTCAGATTGACACAGCCGAACCCTCCGAAGAGCAAGAAAAAGAACATTAGCGTTGTTAATGACAAACTTATCACAAAAAGGAGGGTCGGAATATTCTAGAAGGAAGTTTTTCAAAATTTGAGACCCAGCTATGAGATTATCTTTCCATGCAAACGGAAGCTGATCAAAAGTTATTTGACTGATGGCCTAAAAATGGTAATTTTTACATAGCCCTGAACAGACCAGAAATCTACCTGCTAAGTCTAGGCGGTGAAAAACGAGTAGCAATTAGGCAACTGAAGCCGGCCAGTCGTCAATAGGTGCTTTTTCTACGCTCCGTCACTATGTAGTATTTGGGCGAATGTTACACCGATTTACGAACCCCTTCTAATCACAAGCGTGAAAAGTCCTCAAACACGCACAATCATTTCATAAACGTTTCAATACGTTCTCGAGAAAAACTGATATGTAACTCGGGTCTCGGCGGTTATAAAAAAAACTTGCGACACAACCTCTTGCAGTACACCAAAGCCAAAAAAACTTCAAAAAAATGAACACAGAGAGGAAGCTGAGCTTCGCACCACTTTCAATACAAAACATAATGCATAAAAAGTCTGAACGGAAAAGTGAAAAACTGAAATGAATTTAAAACAATCTAATGTTATAACAATCAAGTAACGTACACAGAAAAAGGATTGGTGCTACGCAATTTCAATTCTTTTTTTTTGTCATGACCTTGGTTTTTTTCTCACGTTTTGGAGTCCCAAATGATCCTAAATGAAATCAAAAATATTGATGAACAATTTGCAACAAAACAACCTGCATTGGGGTTAAGAAAGTGCCCTTTTCTCTAATTGCTATAATGTAGCATCATACTGAAAAATTACATAATCACAGAACTAAAAACAAACGAATGCAAAAGTTTCCAACAACTGCTACAAAAAAAAACTTGAATTGCCACAAAAAAAGTAACTTGATGAAATCCTGATAACAAACTCTGAAAGCCAAAAAATAAACCAATTACATCAAATACTAAAATGGTACGCAAAATTTTCAAAACAAAAGCAAATAACATCACATCTGTAGTCAAGTACAAATTGTGATAACACTCGCATATCCTGCTGTTAGAGGAATTATTCACATTGCTCGAGGGGATGTTGAGTTTGTCGGAACTTGGTGAAGGAGTTGAAGTATGATTAGGGATTATGCCTTTTCGTTTCGGTTTACTGACTTTTTTGGGGTAGCTGTCGACTTTTGCAAAACTGTTCTCCAGCAGAAAAGTTTTTTGTGCTGCCAGTTATCGACAAAATTCGCCAGCGGCGCCAGCTTGAATTGATACTAATTGATGAACTTATACTAATCGATACCGAATCGATTGAATCCATACTAATCAAATTCTGAAGGATTCTTTGGTTTTTTTTTTCAGGTTTTTAAACATACCCAGATTGTATTTTTTTTCTACAGATGCATGTGTAACAGAAAAAGTGCTTTCCGAATCTCTTGAATATGAAAAGTAAGTCATAATTCGGCAAATCATGAGCGGTCACTAAATTGTAATTCGTTGTTTGTCTATTAACCGTTACACAAATTATGCGTCCAACCCAGAAACTTTTTCGTGTAATTGCAATGATCAAATGCCAATTGATCTATGTCTGAAAAAATCTTAACGCTTATGCAACAAACCGCAGCAACTTCTCGTTCGTGCCTGTTACATTGGTGAAAGTGTAGTACTTTTTTTTCTACAAAAATTTGTCTCGCTGACGATTCAAAGGAGGTAATAAGCTTAAGCTAGTCCATCACATCCGGTCCTTTTTTAAGATCAAACGTTAACAGGTCTTTTTTTTCCCAAATTCAATTTAAAAAACGTCAGAATAAAGCGTAGTCGCATTATTGATAGACTTTAAATGTTTGCTTGCTAGATTTCTGCGGATCAGACTGCGGTCTGTCAACTTGCAAGATCAGTGACTTCAAATCGTAGTAAAATATTCTGGGAACGAACCATCGAGCTGTTCAGTTTTTAAGCTTGAGGTCATCTTTTCTGGGATTGGGCTCTGTGTTGACGACATCTTTGTCTTGCTATCGCAGTTCTAGATGTCTTTTCAGAGTTTCGAAAGAAGTGCTTGTTTAAAAAAATTTGCAGCAAATCTCAGGTTGAATCGACGCAACTTGTGGTCGCCCGTACTCAGCCAGTTTCTGGAGACCCTTTATCAGCACATATTAATACTTTGACCCATTTTTCTACAGCAACAAGACACGATCAGACTGGCAGTGGTGAATCTGTTCGATACTCTTAAGGGTAACGGTTCGCCTTCGTTGAACCTGGACAGAAATTTAAATTTAATATCTAGATTTGGTTTGGAATATGAAAGTAGTTTTGGATAGGGGAAGAATAAAAATGAAGAACCAATAAGATTTTCAAAAGTCATGCAGAGGTTGCTTACCGAAAGACGTAGATTTGACAATTGTTCAGCTTTTCAAATCTGCCCATATCCATCACACCCAATGGCTTTTTGTATTCCCTATTCACTTCACAGTTCCTTTTTGTCGAAATCTTAAGTTGTGGCATGTTGCAGCAAAGCAGTATAGAAAGCAACGTTCATCATCTTTAGTTTCGATATTCGTGAGCAGAGTAGAAGCAGCGCTGTGGGCATCATGTAGCTGGAGGTAGGAACCTGCTCTTATTGGCGAGAAGACCGCGAAACTGGTTTGCAGTGTTTAATTCTATTGATAATCCATCCACTGCCATGCGGAGAGAATGAGTTGACTTCGTTGACCATATTTTCAATCAATCAGTTCCAACTATTGGTCCTCAGCTATTTCCTCGAAATACACGGTCAATGTCTTCATAGTTCAGATCAGCATGGTCCTTCCTTTCGTAGTTTCCAGTGTTCCGTCTCGCACTGTGGGGTTTTTGATCTTGCCCACAGAATTGACCTTTGTTCAGGAAATCGTTGAGCCTTTGCAGTATGAAAGCATCAATTTCCTACTTGTTTTGCACTCATCATGACTTGAAGCAAGTCCATTTCTTTTTCACCAAATTTGAGATCGTATCAGCGCATTTTCCCTCTGAACGTGCTTTCCGTCGGCGCAGCGGAAGAGTCGTCTCGATGCCATCCCAAACTGGCAAGACGTGTTTGTTCAGCAGATATTGTTGATAGCTTTCTGCAGTGAGAATTAGACTCAAAGAATTTATACTAAAAGACTCCTTAATTCACAGCCTTAAATTTTGGTGTTAAATTGAGAGTAGACGCTTAAAATGTTTATAACACGAAATACATGGCGCGTTACTTGTCCCAGATTGGCCAACTTGTCAATGTTTAAATCCTATAACTTTACAAAAATTATCACAGGAGAAAAACTTTTTTTAAATTTGAGATCAGGATAACAATACGTTATGAATAATAATTCAAAAATTCATCAAAAAATTGCTATTTAAAGAAGCCAAATTTATCTGGAGTAAGAAACCATCCCGAACACCCAACCACAAGTAGTCGGAAAAAAATTGTTTTATAGTCGGATCAAAAACTGTTCTCGGTGGATTTTTTTGACACAAGTTTGGGGCTCTGAGAATTGTCATTTCTACCAGCTTCGATAATTTAAGGCGGGCGCATTATTTCCAGGTTTTCATTCACGTGTAGGCGGTGAATTCATCCCGCTGGTAAAACATTCCAAAATAAATCAAAAATGCCAACTGGTCCAATTTATGCGTTCTTAAGAATTAGAAAATTTGAAATTTTCATATATTCCTTCTTATTTTTAAAACAATTACATATGAATACCAAAAATATCACAGCATTCACACCTAAATGGCTTATGGCGCCTTAAGAACATTTTATGGCGCCTTAACGTTCTCTAATTGAGATTTGAGTTGATTGGAAAAATTTGCCTGATTGCTATACTGCTATACTTTCTACAAAACTGCGCTGAAAATGTTTCCGCATATAATAGTACACCGCCATGTAACTCGCAACACTCCGAAACATACCGTTTTTTAGCATGACTGACTATCAAGCATTTTATGTAAAAAGCTTTGATTATATTTTTGAAAGCGGTTGCAATTTGAATGGAGAATGAAACGGTGAAGAAAATTCATTTCTGACGTACCTTTCATTATTTCGTTTCAGAAGCAGTCTTTTATCCATTTTGGTAGTCGCATGATGCGCTCTTGAATTAGATTCACTAATGAAAAATACTACCACATTGGTTTCATAAAATTATGCTGCGCAACCGTTACCTGTCTTTTACGATGCTAGGTAAAAATGACGACAGGGCATTAAGTGATATAATAATGAGACGCCATATGAGCGTTTAAACGTTTAAAACGAGCTGTTGGAATTTAAGCGGTTTACATTTCTCAATAAAAATGAAGAGTTGTGTGGGACTGAAAGTCCCAAAAACCGTTGTCGTCTCAACAGCCGTCGTCTTATTTGCAGTTTTCTAGGAAGAGATTTCGCCTTAATCACAGGATGCTGTTTCTATATTATCGTTTCCTTTTTTTAACGTCCCAAATATGTTATCGGCTCATAGTTTTCCCCCTATTTCAAAGTAAGGGAAAAAAGTATTTAATTGTGGGGATGTTATGTTGACTATTGAATAAAAATTTTCTAAATAATAAGCGAACGCAAAAAGCGATTGAGTCCTTGTAGCGAAATATAAAAAATAGAAAAGTCCCTTTCTCTATTAAACTACTTCATTTATCACGCCTTTTAAACTGAATAAGCAGTTTAAGTGAACTTTCGATGTACATGAAAATTAATTTTGTTTAGTCTGACGACGCCGAGGCTTTGGCTCCTTCTGCGTGAATTTACTGATATTTACTTTCTTCGTCTAACTTTTTAACATTAAATGGCTGTACGTTCGTACTATTGAAACAGAAAATTTGATTTGAGCATTTGAAAGCTATTAATTCTTTCAAATCAATTGTACGAAGTTGAAAAATGTATTTTACTTTCTCGCTATTACAGTCTTGCAACTAAAAACAAACTGATGACAGCTTAAACAAAAAAAAAACAGTCCAAATTTGACCTCAGAAAACTTGACCGAAAATAAAAAAAAACCGACGTTATGAGTTCGCCACCAGCTGTCGCGGCGATCAAGCAACCCACAGAAGTTGACCTGAGGAAGAAGGATTCGACATCAAGTTCAACTATAGTCACCACCCGGGAAAGCTCCTCGGATGGAAGCGGAGGCGAGGATGACGCCTGCAACTTCCTGAACTGCGGTTGTCTGGAGACCTTCTCTAACGTTGTAACTGGATTCATCGAGGGCATTTTCTACAAGTAAGAGTTGATTTTATTATGTTTTTTTCTTACGTTTCGGTCTTTGCAGGAGAGCCCAAGATTCGAACCAGACTCCTTTTGTGCCAAATGTTCTAAAGATGATTTTTTCCAAGATACCGTCCACAATAGGTCTTCAGCTGGTAACTGCAGTAAATTGCTCATTATTTTACAATTTTGAATTGAATCGAGAATAAACGACAGCGTCGCTCAAGTTATCTATCGACATTCCTGAGGAGTACTTCATTTTATTTGCACACCCAACTCCGGTGGTTAATTTCCAATGATGAATGACCCTGCTTGGCTTTTTTTAACAGGATCGGCCTGTTCACTGGATCCTATCCCTGGGCAGGTATCCTGATTGGTCTGGCCATTTTCTTCATTCCTCTGGCAGGCATTGCCCGCTACAACGAGGAGACAGACGGGTCCAAACTGTGGGTTCCTCAGGACTCAAGGTAGAACTCTACTTTTGCAAGAGAAAAAACTTTTTGTCATAGAAATCGGATAGATCATAGAAGTTTAGTTAAAAAAACAGTTTGATTTCTAATTCTAAACACAAACAGATATATAGCAAAACTTCCATGCCGAAGTAGAAATTTCAATGACAATTCAAATCTCGAAATCGATTTAAAGTTAAATGTCATTTAACTGCATATAATGTCAAAACAATCCAGCTTACTCTTTAAAATAAAATTCTAGATGAAAATGTTTTAGCACTCTATAATTGTTACTAAATAATGACAACTTTGATAATCTTGATTTCCAAACCAGATCAAATCCAGGCACTTCATTAATTTTTCAGATAATTTTGATCTATTTTAAATGCCAAATCGTCTGTAATCTTTTCGTTGGCCAACAAAATTTAGACCTCTAGACACAAAATTGACGCATGATTTTGAGCTCCTAGAAATTTTGGGCACGAATTAAATCAAATTTGAATTCTCGATGAAAAATCAATTAAAATATTCTCCTGGTCTCGGCTCCTATTAGGTAAAAGCTGCTATCTTTAACGTTTGAAACGAATTTTTCCCTTACGGTGCTGATTTAAATTATCCTGACATAACGAACAAAACTTGGAACTTAAGACGCGTTGTTCACAACTTAAGTTGGCGTTAGACAAACCCCGGAGAAGTATAATTTGTTTTGCAAAAATTGGGCCTAAATTTTACCCCAAAATCAATCAATTTTAGATTTTTTAGTCACTGTAAAAATACGACATTACTTTCCGTTTTATTGCTCTAAACACTTAATCAAAATGAGCCTCTTTTTTCGCCTAACAAAGCTTAAGAGGGGTATAAGCTCTAAAAGTTTGAGCAAAACATTTCAAATCTGTTTAGACAAAAAATTGATTTTTATTTAGTATGAATGACATTTTTTGGCAATTGATCAAGCAAAAATCAATTTATTTAGGCTAAATTTCAAAAGTATAGTGCTAATTTAAAATTTTGGAACAAATAGGATTGGACAAACGAGCAAATAGGATTGGAGTTTTAACTTTCCATTTTATTTCGTTTTTTTCCGGATAATTTAAGTTAGGATATTCGTATAATTTGTTTGGCCACATAAGAGGCTTATTTTGATGTAGTTTCGACAACAATTGAACCGACAGTTCTGGCATAATTTTTTTTATTCTCTAAAAAGCCGAAAACTTATATGATGTTGAAGTAATCGAAGCTATGAAAAAACAGGATAATTTTCGAAGATCTTTTGCTTGATGGGGATGTTTAAAGTTATAAACTTTTGTAAATTGATTCACAAAATAGGCGAGCACGTTTTGTGGGGGGGTTTGGATTTTCAAAAAATTTTCGAAACTTTGTCGACCTTTTTTTGATTTTCCGAGCTCTCCTTGAGCAACAAAAAGTCCATGTTTTGACCAAAATTTCTGCACAAAACTTGAAAAATTAACTCATAACACTTTAATTTGTGAATTGGGTAAGCTGAAAATATCGAAGAATCAATTAGGATCGAAGAATCAATTTGAAACTGTGTTATTGTAAAATTTAAAGCTCTAGTCGGCTCCAAAAAAAAACAAGACTGCTCGTATCAGGGCGAAGCCCTGAATGTTCCGACTGCCTATTAAGGTTTATGGAGCAGTAATATCAATAAAAACTAAAAGTAATATAACACAATAATTTTTTTTTCTTCAAAAATTTGAAGTTTTTTATAAAAATCATCCCCCCACACGCCATATAAAGTACAAAAGGATAGATTTCGCTACTTGTAACAAATCAATTATGGCAAATAAGCTTCGTTGAATCAATTTGGAACAATTTTTAAGACGGATTAACTCTCCGCTTACGCGTTAATAGCGCGAAATATATCGCGCGTTAATTGTCCCAAATTGGCCAAAATGGCAATTTTTAAACCCCCATAACTTTACGAAAAATGATCACAGGTGAAATATCTTTTCAAATTTGAGCTCAGGACAACAATACCTTTCGAATGATATAAAATAACTCCGTCAAAAATTGCTAGTTAAAAAGTCGAAATTTGTCTGAAGAAAAAAAACCCACCCGAGCACAAATATTCCGTTACTTTCGTATCGAAAGTCGGAACAATTATTGCGAACACACTTTTGCCTGCAATTATTCAGCAAAACAGTTTCGTAAATTTTTTCTTACGGCTTTGAAAAAATGGACGGAATATTTAGACCAATTAGGGCCTGTGCAGTTTTTGTTCAGACCAATTGTGATTTTTAATCATCTGATAAAAATCTTTGCATAGAGCTCAAATTAAAACTATATGATAATTTGTGATGTAATAAGACTTTGAACAAGGGCAGTTTGACTGTGTGGGGATAAACAAGTGCGCTCAATTTTCAATTTTTAAATCAAAATGCGTAGCAGAGGCAGCAAAAAAAACCGCTCGTATATCGGACCAAAGCGCTGAAAGTTCCGAGTGCCGTCTAATACATATCGAATAGTTTTTGGGGAAAATATTGAAAAACAATAATGTTTGGACAATATAAAATATCAAGAATGAAGGTTTGAGTCGTACGAAATTATTACAACCGATTAGCTATCCTCACTTCATATTAACACGATTTCGTTGTGCGGGTTAATTCGCCACGAATAATTAACTCGCGTTACGCTTTCAATATTATGAAGAAAATCTTCAAAGCGCTTATAAATTATCCCAGATCATCGCCATATTGGCAATTTCCAAACCTCCAAATTTTTGCAAAAAGAACGTTGGAAGTAAAATATATCCTTAAATCGAATTTCAGAGAGTCATTATTTTCAATGGGGCAAATAAAACTTTGTTAAAACTATGATTTCGATTGCCGTAAAGTGACTGAAGGTACGCTCGTTCATAGAAACAAGACTGCTCGTATATCAAAGCAAAGCCCTGAATGATCCAACTTTCCCATATCGAATTTTTTTCCGGAAAATAAAATATTGACAAACTTTAAATTTTCGACAATAGCAAATGTCAAGTGAGAAATTTTGAATCTTACGAAACTGATACTACCGATTACCTAGCCTCAATTCAATTTGGAACAATTTTGTTGTGCGGAATAATTCACCATGCATAAGAAATTCGCTTTACGCTTTCACGGTGATAGATAAAATCCTCAAAGCGCACATAAAATAGTCCAGAGTATACCCAAAATATATTGGCCATTTTCAAACTCCCAAAATGTTGCAAAAAAGATCGGAAGTAAAATGTTTTTAAATTTGATATCGGATTGTCGATATCTTCATTTGGGCATAATTTTTTTTGTTAAAAACTATTATTTTGATCACCGAAAACTGACTGAATAAAAGAGAACCACACCAAGCTTAAATATTCCGTTTTGTTCGAAAATTGGAACAACAACGTTTCGATTTGTGCCAAATAAGTCTCTGTGTAGTTTACATTGAGTGTGGGGAAACTAATTCAAAAATATTCACTTTTCTTTTTTTGCCTGCATTTTAAAATATATGCAGAAAGTTTGCTCAAAAGAGATAAAAGCGCAGCTCAAAATTTCTGGTCGACTTTTCTTTTTTGTTCCGACTCTTCTAACGAAAGTAATGGAATGTTTGTGCTCGGGGTGGTTTTTTTCTTCAGAAAAATTGCGACTTTTTAATTGGCCATTTTTGATGAAATTTTTTTGAATAAAGGTATTGTTTCCTGAGCTTAAATTTGAAGAGGTAATTCATCTGTGATCATTTTTTGTTTAGCTATTGGGGTTTGAAGGTTGCCATTTTGGCCAATTTGGGATAATTAATGAGCGATGTTTTTCGCGTTAATAATGCGTGAGCGGAGATTTAAATCGTCTTAAAAATCGTTCCAAATTGGTTGAAGGAAGATTATTTGGCAAAAATTCTTGTTACTGTGAGCGAATTTATCACTTTGTACTTTATGTGTGGGGGGATAATTTTTGCAAAAAGAATCTCAAATTAAAAAAAGTTCATTGTATTCTTATTATATTTAATTTTTTCATGTTATTACTGCTCCATAGACCTTAAAAAGGCAGTCGGAACATTCAGAGCTTCACCCTGATACGAGCAGTCTTGTTATACGTTTATCATACAAAAGTAACAATTTTTGTTAAACATTCAAGTCTAATTGAAGAGAATTCGAATCCAATTATTACCAAGTCTTTGGAAAATGGCCCGATGTTGGCGCAAATCAGTGGTGGGAGGCGTGGTAATTTTGGGCGTCAAAAAAACTCGTAAGTAGTACCAAATAAGGACGACTTGCCTATTGAGGGGGTCAAATCTCTATACTATTTGCCTGGTTAGTGGGTCAAAGCTGTAATCAATTTGGCTGGTGAGCGGGTCATATCGCCCGACTCCTGCCTACATACGCTACTGGCCACATGAATCAAAATCTTTCACGCTCAATTCATCCGTTAATTCCTTGTAGTCGAAAGGATGCTGTTGAAAATGCTCAGCTGCCTCAGATAATCCAGATTTCTTCAAAAATCGGAACGGTCGAAGAGACCTTCAACAAAGCTGAAAGTAATATTCGGTTTGGTTGTTGTTTGCAGGGCAGTTGCGGACTACAGGCGGTCCACTGACTGGTTCCCTGGCTACCAGAGGATAGCACAGGTCATAGTAGTGGCCACAGATGTGCTGGACTCCGCCATACTCACAGAAGCACTCACTCTAGATGAGAAGATCAAAGCCATAACTGTGCAGAGCGGAAATCAAAATGTGAGTAAAGTGATTAAGTTGAATCAAACGTAAATTTAAAAACGTTTAAATATGTTTGCGATACGCCAGTGAACATTTGTGTAAGTCAGCCATTTTGTTCTGAAAATTGACCCGCAAACGAAATAGTGTACTTTACCGTATTTGTAGCGTTTTTTGCCTTTTCGTAAAGGCAGGCTTAAAAGAAAAATTTTCTTTTGATCTTTTTTTGACAAATAAATTGATCATTTCTGGCTTACAACTTTTCCCGGCTGTATCAAACTCCCAAGGATGGACGAAACTTTTTGAACGATTCATTGAAAAGTAAATTTTTGCCTTTTTTTGTATGACCCAGAACAGTAAGCATAAAGTTTAATCAACTAAAATACTTTTCAGATACCCTTTTCTTCCGTGTTTTCCTCATTTCCGCTGCCAAAGCGAATTAGGTAAATCCGCAGAGAGTGTTCTTTTGAGACCTTACAAGATTTATGAGATGGTATTTTTCAGGACGGTAACATCCAATCGACATGGCTTAAACAGTAGGTTTACCAAAAAATTACATTCAACTGATCAATTTTCACTTATCGGTCTTTGACGCTGAGGTCTATTATTCCGGTGGACAATCTCGATAATCCTCCCTTCTTAAGAAACGGGAAGAGATATGTTAAGTTCATCAAATCAATCAATTTTAGATCAACCAGAGTGCAGCAACCTATATTGCTTATTCGCCATTTTTGTTGAGAAGGAGGTTCTTTACTAGAAACAATAGCGAAGCTATTGTTAATTAGATACGATTTTGTCACGTGTAGCGTTCAATCAAGTATTTTAGGACTGATCAACTGAATGATCGGTTACATGGCAAAAATCCATTACCTTAAGATCCCAGTAAAAAAATACGTCGTTCTACAATCGCCCACAACTTAAAATACTATAATAAAAAACAAAGTAAACGAAATTATCAACAAGTTGAATATAAAGGCGGTTTACTAAACAAGCAAAAAGAATGCCAGTGAAAATGAAAAAAACGGCAAAAAATACGCTGCATACTTTCGAACACAAATTACGTTGCTAATCACATGGCCTTCAAAATTAAACTCAAATTTCAAAACAGACTAGATTACAACTGAACTTGAAAAAATTGTTCCAATTAGACAAAAACAGCTTTACCAAAAATGTTCAAATTGTTTCGACAAATCAATTGGTTACAAAAAGATTAGGTCTTACAAAAATCACAAAAATTTTGAAATCTTTTTCACTGCAAATCAATTGTCGTTCCATTGATTAGAAAAATTGTTTCTCATTTTTGATCAAATTTTTTGCTAGACGCAACACTCAAAGGGCCATCAGAGCCTGCACTCAAAGTAGCGTCCCGTAAATAAGTACAATTAATCTTGGATTAAACTGCTACAGACTGCATTTTTGTTGCGTTTCGGGGTTTTTGGAGGTTGGATGGAAACATTATTAAACAAGTTGATCAAACAAAATTAATATAAAGGTAAAATAGCTGAAGGTAAAACGTATTTTAATTAGTTATATGAGCAAATGAACGAATATAAGATAATATGTTTCAGTCTTTGTGCCAACTAGTTATCTGTTTAACTTTGTCAATCAAATTGCGGTACTTTTTCCGAAATAGGTTGATAGTAACGCTGGATTTTTTCAAGCTGTTCAATTGTTGATTGCAGGAATATAGTTGAATTGTCTCAGTAAAGGTATATATTGAAGGAACAAACAAAAAAAGCGAAAACACCTAGATCCCGTTTTTCAATTCTGGCACAAAATAAAGAGTAGGAATCACTTTCAGCGCTAAGACTAGCTCGATGTTCGATTTGAGTGTCCTCTAAAGTCCAAAACAGAATTTTTTGCATATAGCTCTGACAGAGATGAAACAAACATTCTTTGATATCAGTTCAGTAATGAGACACAAAAAAATTCAACGCCGCAATTTCAAAGTTAACTCGAATTTTTTCCGGTGTTACGTCATTGCTAAGTAATTTAATTGCGGTTAGAAAGCCGACACATGTTGTTATTTTTTTTATTGCTGAGCAGGGCGTAGCGCAAGGTAGAAGAAATCCACCAATCTGAGTGTACACAGAGCAGGTAAAACTGGGTGGGACAAAATTTGAAATTATTGTTCACAATCCAGGTTCTTTCGAACACTTTGAGTGAGTGGAGGCTCTCAATATCGCCAAAAATAAATATGCGTTCCGCCTTCCGTTTTCGGGCACCAAAAAAAATTGTAAACAAAAAATCCGATATTACAGGGATACGGCATCTGTTGCATTAGTGGGCAGGGATGACTTTTGATTACTTCTGTTAAGAGATCTCGTTATTGCCGACCGGGATGTTAAGGACATTTTGGTTGCATTGTCGTCCTGCACCATTTGTAAACTTTTTGCGTTGATCTGGATTTAATTAATTTCTGAAAGTTCTGATTGTGTTCTTCATTAGTTGAACTAATAGTCGAGCTTCTGAGCTTCCGGCGTTGAACTTGTGGCAATGCATGTTGCTGTTCGAGCGAGATTAGATCTACCCCACATGCTGCAGCTGAAGTGTGTTGACTTTTTTTGCGCTTCTTTCAGGTATTCATGGCCGTCAAGAACACTAACTATTTGGCTTTTTTGTGATGTTCCTTCAATAAAAACAATTCATTTTCAGATTTTCAATAAGTTGAAAAAGGAGATAATGAATGCAACTTCAGGATCGTATTAACATTGATTTTAATACAAGCTGGTGGTATGTTAATCCTAAGAATGAGTTCAACACAAATTTTGCTATTGTAATTTTGCTTCGTTTATTATTAGCATGAACCTAATTGAGGCGAGGCATCATTGCTCTAGATTTACGTATAATTACACTTTGATGATGTCTTTTGTTATTAATTCAAAGGATTTTTATAATTGGCATAGGGTAATATGGTATGGGCGATTTTAATAAATGATATTTTTTGGTAAGGTATCTTTTACCATGGGGGCTTTTGGTGTAGTATCTTTTGTCCTGACAGCGAATGTTCATACAAAACTAAATAAAACAGCAAATTGCAGCTGACTATTAGCAAAAAGAAATCTGTTTACTTTGCGAAACTTCTGATAAACTCTTAGAATTTGTGATCTGTGTGCTCTGTTTTACTCAAATGCTTGCAAATGGCACTGTTGGCTTTAAAATATTTATTCACTTTGCTTTCAGTTGACGTGGGATGATACGTGTAAGAAGACGGGACCCTACTGTCTACATAATTCAGTGCTGGAGGTATGGTCTTACGATCGAACCACTATCCAGGCACTCACTAAAACTACCATCGAGACGGATATCGACACCATCACTACAAGGTACAACCCTAGTCGAGGCCCCGCTTAAAAACCGCTCAAGATTTGAACGGTTTGAGCGGTTTTTTAGACGATTGCGCTCAAACCGCTCAAAATATTCGAAAGAAACCATCAGACCGTTCGAAGCTGCTAAAATTCTAGCAAGAATCGCTCAAACCGCTAAATCTGTAAAACTTTGATCTTCTAACCTTCCGTAATACCAAAATAAAAACTAAAAACCAACCTAACATGTTTTAGGGTCCAAAACGCAGTCGTCAAGGTTCTTAACGTTTTCTAAAAACTCAAAAACCGCTCAAAAACCGTCAATCAACTCGGGAATTCATTATTAGCGTCATTCAGTAGTAACTCAGCTTATTTGCTATTTGGTTACTCCTTTTGATGAATTCAGTAGCGCGCATACAGTCAGCATGGTCGGGAAGGTCCTATCTATTTCTTCTGAAAAATTGATCAAAAACTTGATTCCACGAGAATTCTTTTTGACTTGAAACTACGCGTTGCAAAAACACACCAAGGCCAACTATCAATTGATAATATTTGTAGTTCGTTTTTAGATAAGTGAGCCCAAAAGTATTGGTTCTTCTTTTTTTCTGATTTGGGACTTGAAATTTTCTGAAAATGAATTTTTTTAAACAAAATAAATCATGTTTATTTGCAATACAAAGTCTTTAAGAGATTGTTTTTGCTATTTTTCTATATCTATGAAAGGTATGGGCCATAGTATGTCATTGGTCAAGCTAGCAATTTGTAGCAACTCGGGTAAATATCTCCAGGTTTTTTAGTGGCTGAAAATTTCAGCCTTCTGAGCTCAAGTTAGAGTTTTGGCTGTGTTGCGACTTAGTTTCTGTTTGCGTTAAGTTTCCAGTTTTTGGCTGAGTTTATGTTTCAACCAAAATGTTTCCAACTTTGGCTTAAGTCGATTTATCCACAATAGAAAGGACCAACATACGAGGTGCTCAGTTTTTCATGGAGAGCCGTTGTTGTGCCTGGTAATGAATGGAATTTTCTGTTCACATTTTTTGGTTGTTTTTCTGGACAGGGGAATGTTGTGTAACCCTCATAAAATGAGAACGGATGATAGTGGGCCTCGAATCGCCGCTTTCCTCCTTCCAATAGATACCCTTTAATTTTAATAGCAAGTTTCAACGCGCGCGGGTATGAATTCTTGAAGATTTTTTATGGCGAGGCTCAAAACGTTCTTTCTCCACGTGGGAAAAAAACAAACCAGCATACACGCTGTTTTCGCGGAGAACAGTTGTTGTGCTCTGGGTTTTGAATTCTCATTTCTAAAGGCAACAATTCGCAGCCCATAAAGGTCAAACCAAAAACATTGCATGCACTTCTAAAACGGCATAATAGCCGTTCTCGTTTAAGAGCTAATAAATCATGATTGTCGATTTCCTTCCTCTGAATATATGGTCTTGAAAATATATTTATTAGGAGTTCCGTTTTAGAAAATAAGTTACCAGATTACGTTTGTTTCCATAGGAGTGAGCTTATACAATGTCCACGGTGGTAAGAAGTCTAGAGCTAGCAAAAAATCAAACGATATTACTCATTTTTTGATATCCGTTTGGTCTAGTCATCCATGTTTGCTTCTGACTGACGTTTTCGCCTCAAATTAGATTTGAAACAATATTTGCTTTTAATAAAACTCAACGCTGGTATTCGCTTAAAAAAGCAATTTTTTCTCACGTATCCATTTTCGAAGGTTTCAAATGCCATTATTAGCTCCGTTCCATTATTGTTTTTTAAAATATAAAAGTCCTACAAGATTACCTCGGGGAGTTAGGTGTTAAAAGGCGGTTGTTTAAGTTTTGACCAAAAAATTGAGTTTTTTGAGTGCCTGCATCCATCTCAGCTCAAATATATAAAGGTGCGGTAAGAAAGTACCGAAGGGATGCCCTTTGGCCGGGATACCTTTTGCCACTTAGAACTTCGAAAAAGTGGTTAAAAATTGATGAGTTTTGGCGGCGATATGGCCTAAAATTTTTTAAGATATCACGAAAGCTGGTTATTAAACTTTTCCCCTCAATTGAGCTGAATAAAGCCATCATCTGGTGTATTTCGCACCTGAAAACTTAAGTATGGGAATTCCCCAATTATTACAATTGTTAGCGAAGCTGCGAGTGCATTGGTATGTTCTACCAAGTTAATATTTGACTAATTGGCCCGAAATCAAACTGATTTTAATTTTAAAAACTATTTAGACAACGTTGCGCAGCCTGCCTCATCATATGAGTAAAGCTGTGGAGTTGTTATTTTTGATAATCCAATCCTTTATTGACAGATTAGTTGTCAAGAACCATATCTATTGATCGAATCCCAGTTAGTTTCTTTTCTACAAAAATCAAGCTCGTAAAAGTTAGTTTCAAACATATCAACTATTTGAGGGAGATCCTCCAAAAAATCTACAAAAGAAACCATTTTGGATTAAAAGTTTTACCTTTGTAGTACTATTCTACCAGCATTAGACCATCGTGGTTCTCTTGAGGCTGCAGGAACATCTGGGACTCAAATTATAAGTTTTTCACAATGAACTCATTTCTTTTCAAAAATCAACTAGTATAATCAGCAATATTCAAACCGATAATTTAGAAACCTCGGATTGATCATGAGTAAACTAAATTTTGAGCGATTTTTGATCATTGCTTATAAATTTCACGGCTTTTTTGTAAAAAGTTTTTTTACTTGTGCCACAGGAAAATTGTTTTGGGTAAGTTTGTGACACCTAGGCCATTTTGATTGACATTTGAAAAAAAATGATTAGGAAATTTTTAGGCAAGCAACTTGCATTCAAGAACAGCAATAGTTGGCGCGTATCAGTCGAAAAAGGGCGTTGTGCAGTATACAGCATAAAAAACTTCCATTTGATGCTCATTCCAACAGTTAAAACATGTTCGTATCAGGGCCAAGCGCTGAATATCCCAATGCTTTCTAAGATCACGTCCCACTCTTTCAACTGTCATTATTAAATCCCTATGTTCCCTAACCTCCTTTTTATAACACCGTAACAAAATAACCCCACATCAAAATAACCCCCTTTTATTACCAATAATTTGTTTCAAATTAAACCTTTTTACAGCGAGAGTAGTATTCCAATTACGGGTACAAATTGAGGTCAGAAAAGCTATTCTTAATTCACTTCATGCGTTTAGTCACTCAAAAATAACTGCATTTCGATTAGCTAAAGAAATAATCCCTATTTCATGCGTTTAAAACAGAGATAAACTACATGGTGAGAACAAAAGGCAAAAAAGGACGTTTGTCAGCTGTATTTAGAAAAATCAAGCTTCCTTACTCTTTTACTATTGTTATACCATTAAATGCTATAATATTTGAAGCTTCCTTCCATTTTACCTTATCTACGAAGGACAAACAAATACTAGTAGTACCAGGCCACGAGTTTCATCTTAAACGCAAAACTCTTAATTGTCGAGCAACAGTAATTACAGATGGCGGCAGTTTTTTTTTGAAATGAGGGGTGAACTTAATTACAACTTTTCTACGGAAAAATTTGATGCTCGACTATTTTTTCAAAACATCAAGGATTTGAGCAATAGTAATACCCAAGGTCGCAGTCGCAACCTTAATTCAGCCCGTTACAGACGACATTGCCCCTCAACTAGCCCAAGCAACTAAGAAAATAGTTCGAACTGCAGAACGAGTCAGCATGCAACGAAAATAAGAAAACAGGTTTTATCAGTCTCTCCAGCAACCATAATTTTCACTATGGAATCAAAGGCATGCGGCATCATCCGGTTTGGCCAGAACAACAAATGCTGTAGAGGGCTGGCATTGTGGCATAAAATGGACCAATTTCATTAGATTGCATCCCTGCTTATTTCAATACCCAAAAAACCGAGACAAGACTGTTCGTATAAGGGCGGAGCCTCGAATATCCAATTGCTCTCTAATTCATCTAAAGTAGTTTTTGGCTCAGAACTGTTTGCTAGCATTAACTAGCAGATAGTGTTGAACAATTTATGGAGCACCAGAAAAAGTAGTACTTTGAGTTAGCGAACAAAAGGCGTTCGCCAATACTCTTCAGACTCTCGGTAATACTGCTGGGTTTATCATAGATTACAAAAGAAGGTAATAATTTATTTACAAAAAAATGTATAAAAGCACACTTTCGGTAACTGAAAATAAAGTTTCTGATAAAAGAAGTTTACCCTTTATGCCGGCTTTACCTAGTTGCATTTATGAGATGAATATTTTTGGTCATGATTTTTCTAACTTCAAATTTTGAGAAATTTTGTGTTATTTTTTTTCCTCAAAATTTTAATATTCTAATAATATTTACAAAATTGAAAAAAGTCGATCAAAGTTGTTAAAACTTCTTAGTTGTTTCAATTTGCTGCGATGAGTTGATAGTGATTTAATACAAGTTTGTTTCCCCTATGCTCAATGTTTGATGCTGAACCACTTGCGAATACTATCGCTTCGTTTTGTAGAAGTCACTTTCGGCTGAGCTGTCTGTCGGCACATGGCAATCACTTGAATCGACACTCCCACACAAATTGAGAGGGCTCCAAGACACGAGAACACATTCGGTTTTTCGTCCAGCAGAAAGACCTGTAACAAGGCTGCGGCACTTTATTTTTCAACTCAGTTTTTGCTGAATCCAAATTAAATTTCATCTTTAGTAAAATTTCACGTTCACGAATTTTTCTTGCGCTCTCCTTTTTTAAACTTGGCATCTATTGGCACCAGCGACGCTTTAGAATAATTGAAGCTCAAAAGTTTGCAAAAAAAAACCAAACGGGTAATTTTTTTGAGCAGTGAAGGGCAGAATACCTGAAGGAATTTCCCGCTATTTTTTTCTAAATCCTCAGCTGGTTCTAGTCAGTTTTGGAATTTGGATGAAAAAACAAAAGCCTTGCCTGCAGTAAGTAACTCATGACGATAGAGATAAGTCGTAACAGTTGCATGATGGAAGGAAGAGATAGTTGGGATCCGATTATTGAGCTGAGAGAGTAAAAAGGCCAAAGAAGACAGGACAGGGAACAGATCAGTCTAATTGCATAGCAAAACGGGATCGTCAATATACTTTTGGTAAAGTTAAAAAGTAGAAGCGGTACAGCATTTTACTCTGCATTGGGTTTAAGTGGATCGAAATTAAGTCGATCAAAACGATGGTTACAGAAACAGCAGTGATATGAAGTTGTTTGAACACTTGGAAAAGAATAAATAGACTTAACGCGGCAATGAATTTTTGTCTAAAAGAGTATAGATTTTTTCCCCAGTTATCAACGTTTTTTTTTCATGTGTAAGAAATCCAAAAGATTACTTTTTCGATCAATGAATTTTGCTTATTTAGTTTATTACGGACGGATTTTCCTGATCTAATCACGATGAAAAAATAAGGTTTTATAAGCGCTATGAATTATGATTTTGTACAGAGTTTTTTGTGACTCGGTCTTGGATCCTTTTTTCTCTCTTTGCATTTAAGACCAATAACTCATACCTTTGGAACATCTTCCGGTGCAAATAACGACTCAAAAAAGTTTCTGAGCTTTTAGAGCTCGGTGTTATCTCAGGTTCATTTGTGGTACCTTTTTTTGCGTGAAAAAACATGCCCGAATCCTAAGTCATGTCCACTGAAGTACCCGGTTGAGGCGATTCATAACTCATAGTTCAGTTAAGCGGCAAGTATTTGATTGATTTTTTAGAGAGACTTTATCAGCTTTATAAATTTAATTTTGACGATCCTTGTCGACGGCAGGCACTGTGATAAGGCTATTCCATTTAAGGCAATATTAACAAAACTAGAGGCTAACGATCCAAGAGAAAAGGCCAACCAATGAAACTCGATCGGATATGTTTTCATAAATTGCAAATTGAGATAGAACAATGCAAAGCTAACTCCCGAACAAGAGGCAAAAAACACACCAACAAGAGTTGCGAATACTGAAGTTTTCACGTTTTGCACAAAGTTTTCGGGCTGCGAAAAAAATATAAGCCCGCTTAAGCTAACTCCAGCGGCAAGACATGTCAAAGGTCGCGGTACCTTTTTTAGTTTAACACTTTCGACCGCGATTGTTGTGACGAAAAAACTGATATTGCAAATAGCATAAACATCCGAATAGGGTAAAAGGTCGAAAGATCTGAAAAAGCAAAACTGCGCTACTCCATTAACTATTGTCCCATTGAGAGCCGACCTAAGAAGCTTTCGGAAATTGTGAGCTGAAAGTTGTGAGCTTTTGTTGTTCTTTAGAAGGCCTACACAAGATAAAAGCACCGACGAAACAGCAAAGCAGAAGTTGATTTCGATCCCTCTAAGCCGAGATACTTTGGCTATGGTTCCACATAGCACCGTGATAAAACTTCCGGCAAAGCTGGCAAAAAATACCTTCAGTACGCTTTTCCGGTCCAGCATTTTTCTAATTCTCAGTGTCGTTCTAAATTAATTTAGTTTCAGTAATTGTAAGGTAGTAGTTGACAAAAAGGTAAAACAATTATCGCATAATTAACTTGTACCTGGTAAGAAAGGAGATAATTAATTTCGATGGTATAAATATTGGTAAGCAAGAGCTCGCAAGCTCGACCTTAAGCTAAGCAATTGACTCTAACGATTGTGACGATATGATATCACGGGTCAAACAAGTTTAATTTAGGGTGTGTATAATTATCGAAGATCCTAATAAAGCGAATTCAAAGTGAAGTTTTCACCTAACAGTATTGCCGTAAAAGTATCATTATACATGGTAAGTTTCAAAAATTTGAAACCTTAACTCGATAACGAATGTGCGTTTCTTTAAATTCAGAAATGCTCCATTTTGTCGGCTGTTCATTTTAAGGTAACTGAAATTGCTCAGGTGGTAAGGTTACTTGCCATAATTATTGATAAAAGTGTATAAGCTGTGAGGTGAATGGTATACGTTTTGAGGTTGTTTCAATATTCGGGCAAATATATCCAGGCAGGTATTTGGAGAAGAAGTTACTGAAACTATAGGGCTACTTATAAGGCTACAATCTGGTTTAAAGATGCAGATCTAAAATAACTCCGCCTGTCTGATAATTTATGCCTCTGATTAATTTACAATATCGAAGCTGTTATTCTATTCATGTAAGGTCAATCGAACGTAATATAGACATAAAGATTGTTTGGGGGCATTTGGACGCAAAATTCTTCTTTATCTAAATGCCCTGCGCACGGATTTTTGCGTTCAGCCATTTTTGACGAAAGCGGTTTTTGATAAATTCTATCGACATTTTTTTAGAGTCAAGACATTCGAATTTTACTAGCTCTGTCGAAAATCTATTGTCGATGAACGGCAAAATTTTTTCCATAAGCACGTTGCCTTGGCCTTATTTGATAAAAAACTTACTCATTTGAAAATTTTTAATCTTTGAAGCATTGTTTAGTAATGCTTCATTGCTTTTTTGTACTGAGCAAGGTGGCAACCTCCGCTATTGAAATAAGCCTGTGCTTTTAAAAAGAATTGAAAAAAGAACCTACTTTTTTAAAAAAAAAAACTTTAAACCCATTTTTATTTTTTTTTTCACCTTTTGTTTTGTGACTTCATTGCTAAGTAATTGGGACTCCTCGAGAGGCTTTATGGTACGTGAGTCTTATCCCTGTGAGTATTTTTATGTCCTATGTTTTTTTGTGCACTCACTATATTATTAATTCAAATGAAAACAAATTAATAGCAGTTTGTTCTTTTAGCCCAGTGACTAACTCTGAGATAGATGCGAGCCTGTGGTTGGGAGGAACCGATGACGCAGACGGGGACGCCAAAATAGATTCAGCCAGGGCTATGTCTCTGACTTACTTCATTAAGACCTTCAGATCTGGAGATGACCCAGAGGTCAGTTCGTGAGTCACCCATTCACACCAATATTTGAGTATTTGAGAAAACTGAAAAAAAAAACTATAAAAAAACTCATTGAGAATTCCAGAAGTGCGCAAAGGATTTTAAACATGCCTCAAAAGTTTGCCCATGGTTTTTTTCGGTACATTTAAAGTTTGGGACGGTACAGTCTTATACAGAGGCGTGCGCAGAATTTTTTTTGGGGGGGAGTCAGTTTTTTTGAAAACGTTTTTTTTTAGGTAGACACATTTGATTTTCCGAGCTCTCCGAAAATACTAAAACGACCCAATTTTATCACAATTTATCTGGACCGCTGGCAAATCTTCCCAACACGAGTGGGAAGAAGAGTTAAAAAAATCATTCTTTTTCGATTTCATCGAACCTTCAGCAAAAACTACTTGGGGCAGTTTGAGAGTGCGCAACTAGATCCTTCAGTTTTTTTCTCTTATACGAGCAGTCGTGCTGTTGCGACTACTCGAAGAGTGAAAAAGAACTATGGCGTACAGTGGGTATTTTCAGGGCAAACTCAAAGTGCCTCAAAGTATAGTTTGGGCCGATACGGTATCATATCATGATATCAGAGAATTTCAGCTGTTCTAATTCGACATATATTGTCAGACTGAAACATTTTCGAAAATTGATTGATAATTTTTCTCTTATCATTTGCGTGTCTTTCATTTAAATTTGCAAAAAGACGTTTTGAGAACTTTTTAAAAACTGACCAAAAATTTGCGTATTTTTGGCGCGCACTCATCCTTCAAAATTAGTTATTTATGCGCCGAAAGTGCCTTTAAAACTTTTTTGTTGTTGGCGAGCCAAAAATGGGAGAAGAAAAATTATACCAAAGGAGGGATACCCTCTTCTTCAGCATGCTACTGGTCTTATATTATTTAACAGCAAAAGTTGTAGAGCCAGCCCTGTATACAGATTAAAAGTTCAATGATAAACACACTAATTCAGTTAAAAGATTTTGTAATTTTGTTTTATTTTGACAAATATCTCGGAGCGCACACTCATTGTGTTGAAGATTTTAAAAAAATTGTTGAAGATAAGTCAATGATTGTCAGAAATAACATGAATATACCGGTTTCAAACTCATACAACCAGGTAATACAAAGAGAAGCAAGAAAAATAGCACCACGGAGAAAGTCTGTAAAATCGCTTTTTTGGAAGTGTTTATAAATGTTAAACTTGATGCGTTTTTTGTTTATCTGACCTATCGCTCATTAAACTGAAATGGTCCGAATGTAAGATCACTTTTAAAACACCAAACATTCTTCTTTTTGAGCGTATGTATCTTTTTCATCTAAATCAAAAGCCATTTTTGAGTTTTGGTTTTATTAGCTGAACAAAAAGTGCATAACTGCAAATGATAAACCAATGTAAGAAAAAAGAGCCAACACGTGCGTTTTTCATTTATTCGTTCGTTTTTTTTTCGAAAAAATTATTACAAAAAAAGAAGCTACACGTGTATCTGCTCTAAAAAAATTTAAACCACATGTCTGGTTTTGCCAAAAATGAGTTTCATCCAGCTCGAACACCCAAAGGTTCCCCTTTGGTACTGTTTTGCGGCACCCATTCAATTTTTGGGCGACCGACCCCAAAATTTCTATATGCGCGGCCTTGGTACAAATATATTCCAAATTAGGGGGCACTCATGTTAATTTCAGCAAAATCACTCTAATTGCAATTGCAATTCTATCACCTTACGCCCAATGTTGCGTTTAAAGTCATGACATTTGTTCTTGCAGTGACGATCTGTTTGAAGAGCACCGGTCCAATTAGTCTTTAGTCTATACACAGGGACGGATCTAGAAGTTTCTCGGCGTATTTTTAAAAAAGTTCAAAGTTTCGTCGACCTTTTTTTATTTTTCAAAGTGGTTCCTTTTTGGAATATTTTAACCAAAAATCGCGTTTTTTGCAAGCGCACCCCCCTCAAAAATAATATATGTTGTCGCCAAAGGCTCCTTTAGAAAAATTGGCTCTTTTCCAGTTCCCCCCTTTCAAATTCAATTTTGAAAAGCTTATTTAACGTTATCATAATGCAATAGAATTTGGCGTGGTGAACAAATCGACAACTCTAAACAGATTTGTTCTTCATACTTTACAGCGTAACATCACGCGTTTAGCCGTAATAACACGTAAAACGAACATAAAGCTTGGTATTTTGAAAGGGGGGACTGGAAAAGAGCCGAAAAATTTTACGGTCTGGTCACCCAAACCTGGACATCTTGAAAGATTACCAAAGGGGGACCCTTTGGGTCGGCAGGAGGTCGAGTCCCTGAAGTGAAGCATCCGCCTATAATTATATCTAGCGGTTAACTGACTCATTGTAAATTATATATATTTTTAAATTCCACACTTTTAGTTCGCAATATTTAAAATTGAAAAAAAAAATTGGTGTAACGAGTTTCTCATGTTGTACTTTTTATACGGTGTGGAGAATGTTTTTGAGAATTATTCATTTGTGTATAGAGTCATCATTTGTAACAAAAAGCGGCTCTTTTTCTGGTCAACATGAATTTTATGGTCAACGAGTGGTTTTACAAGGTTAATTATGAAAACCAAATATGTTTGTTATGGCCTAATCAGTCATGACATGGCCTAATCAGTCATGATAGTCATCAATTTTCATGACAATCGGACAAAGTGAACAGAAATTTCAAATTGAAAAATTTGCAGGTGGGGGGGGGGAAGGAAAAAGAGCCCAAAAAGCAAGTGGAAAATATTAACTATCGGCGCAAAAAGACTCAAATTGTAGGTTTTGATTTCTGATTGGGACATAGAAAACAAGGATAGCCGGTTACTGTACAAATATCACAGAATGTTCCGACCATAATGTTTAGAAAACTACGGCTTAGAACGTTTTTTTTCCAAATTAGTGTAGTTTTTTCTGCTTGTTGTGATGAAAAGATCTGACGTAAAAATATAATTTAGGCATATTAGACTGTCATATTATAATATAGGCAACGTGTACAAAAAATTTTGTAGAAAAATTTTGAATTTTTTGAAGCTTTTGATTCCCAAAACGGAGCTTACAAAACTCCAAAAATTAGTTTTACTTGCTTAAAATTAAATTTTAAGGTCTTAAATTATGCATTAGTCAACAATTCAGCTGTTGTAAGCCTGCTCGCTTGCTTTATTTGCTCGAAATAAAACGAAAAATCAAAAATTTCATATCGGTTATTCTCGACACTAGAGAAAAATTTTGGGAATTTTTAATGTGCTTTGAATCACGACTGAAAGGGTTCCAATCTGATATATCGCTCAACCCAGTCCGATGATTATTTGTGGTACTTGATTTTGCGTGGAAACAAAAATTTAAAAAAATAAAACACCCGAGTACAAAGTTTCTCCCCATTTTTCAAATGGTCAGAGCAATAACAGGGTAAATATATGTTGATTATAGGACTACATTTTGGAGTGGGAGCAGAAATTTCTGGACATTTGCGAGGAAGGTATCGGGGGAGGAGCTTCGGTCTACTACTTCGCAGCCAGGAGCGTGGGCGACATAGGGGGAAGTGCCATTGATGGGGATCTACAGTTTCTGGCAGGGGGATACTTCCTGGTCATCATATATCTCATCATGGCTCTGGGGAAATTCAATCGCCGCGATCAAAAGGTCGTTTTTGGGTTTTTCTTACAAACTTTCAGAGCAAAAGTAAATAAAAGATACATTTTAATTTTAATATACGGAATACTTACACAAGCGATTTTAACCCTGGCCCATCTGAAGGATGTATTTGATGGCTTCAAAATATGGAACAACGTTTTGGACTCCATAAATGCACAAATATTTAGTCAGGCAAATACAAAAGAAAATAGAAATATCGCGTATCTCTCTAGATATGACAGATAATTCGGTTCCTGATCTTAAACTATTGAGTGAACTCTTAAACCGTTCACATATTTGATATGGCGAAATACAGCTCATATGAAAGTGTGCAACTTTTTTTAAAAACAAAATACTCAAACGATGATTTAAAATCGCTGATGTTCGAACACCGAACTTGGTATCGAATGAGATATTTTATGTCAATTAATTAGGCATTGTTCCGAAACGAAGGATCTATCAATTAGACTGTAATTTTTTTCAACCCGGTTTTGACTACCTGAAAATTGAAAGCCTTTTCAGCCGTCATTTGAAATTAAAAATTGCAGCAAATATGTCACAGTTACTGGAAAAGCTGGTCTGAAAATTTCTGTTTTTCAGAATACTTTTAAGACTGGTGAATTTCAGACTGCACTTCAAATGTAATTGTTCTTCGATTGTCATTTTCAAGGGTTTTCGAAATTTTTAAATATCAGTAAAACCGTCTAGTTTTGTTTCCGTGGCATTTGAGTCATAGTACAAATAATAAAAAAATTGTTCTCAAACAGCTTTTTAGAAATTGGCGTATCAGTGTGTTGCTTAGTTGTTCCTACTTTCTAATATTTGTGCTCGAGGTGAGTTTTTTTCTCCAGACAACTTTCGACTTTTTAACTAGCAGTTGTTGAGAATTTTATAGCAATCGAAAAGAACTGTTGTTCTGGGCTCAAATTCAAAAAGAATTTTCTCGTGTGAATTGTTTTTAGTAAAATTATGAGGGCTTAAAAATTGCAAATTTGGCCAATTTGGTACAAAAAACGTGCGATATATTTCGAACTATTAACGCGTAAGCGGAGTTATAGTTAGTTGAAGAAATCATTCCAAGTTGGATTGAGGCATGCTCTTTAGCCAATATAATTTTTTTGCTATATGCAAAATATATCACTCTATACATTACATAGCGTGTGGGGGATGATTTTTACAAAAACAACGTCAAAAAAAATTGTTAAGTTTTTTTGAAAATTTCATCATTAATTTATTTTAAATTACTCCATAAAAATTAAACCCAGTCGGAACAATCAGGGCTTTGACCTGATACGAGCAGCCTTGTTACCATTTTTTAGTGAATATAACTTTGCTTATTTTTCTTTTCAAAGATGGAAATGTCAAAATTTGCAGGAACGAAACTGTCACCAGGGAAAACTCAAAATCATACTTAATCGACATTAGTAAATGTTCATAAAAAAACTAATTACCAAAATAACCTAGAGCCATGTAAATAATTATCTTTTATATTATGAATATAATCATCAAGCCTCGATTTCTCAACGTTGATAAAAGTTTTAGTTACCGATGGCTCGAACTATGTAATGCAGAGTATTCTAACTCTAATTGATATATTTTTTACTTGTTGCTGTTAAGCGAACTTTACTTCTTTAATTTTTCATTCTGTTTTCCTCATTTTAAGACTTTGCTCTTCAATCTTTAGAGATAAAACCATCAATGTATTCACTTGTGTGCTCAGATCTTAAAATTTTTGCGAATAAATTTCAGTATCTCGTATAATCTCGAGTACATCGAATAAAAAACTGTTTTAGATCTACATGGCCATTTGTGGGATAGTGTGCATAGGTATGTCCATGGGCATCTCCTATGGCCTCTCCTCTGCATTCGGACTGTTCTACTCTCCCCTACACAACATCCTTCCATTTCTACTACTTGGTAAACAGAATGACTCTTGAACAAACTCTTAGGTCACCTTCATCTAATCCTACCTAGCATGTGTTTTAAAGCACCGCTGTCTAAATTGTGGTCTGAATAAGATTTTTTCACGCAATTCTTGATACAAAATTATTTGATTTTTTAGGACTGCCTTTTGGTGAACTTTACAGTAATTAATTTTATTTTGGAATTTGGCTTTTATATAAATTTTAAATAATTAACCATTCGCTGAACTCTCCGGGTCGATGTTTGCCAGTTTTGTTTTGGCCAAAATATTTTACGGCTGAAACATATCAAGCCTGGGTGGAGACGGTCAAAACATACCAGTTTGTGGTCGAGTCGGTCGGAACATAAATCGCAAACTTCGACCCAGGTATGACGCAAACGCAAAAACTATTCATATATAATAACCATTCATTTAAAAAAAATGAAAAGAGATTATTTTTGGACCTTTTATTGGCGATGGAACCAATCAATTCACGAAATAAGTTTATGGATGTTTTAGGAGCCTCTACAGAATTAAAATATATTTTAAATATAAGACACAAAAATAATACGGAAAAGAAACCAGGAAAAATCCTGAATCTCTTTACGGTCGTAACATTCGAGTATTCTGTCGTAGGTATCGGAGTGGACGACATGTTTGTGTTCGTGGCTGCCTGGGACAACCTCGGTGCCCACGAGAAGACACTCCCCCTGCGAGAGAAGATAGGTCACATGACCAAACATGCGGGTGTCTCCATTCTGATCACCTCATTAACCGACTTCGCTGCTTTCACCATCGGCGCCATCACGGTAACTCACGCAATTATTCAGTCTTTATCAATCGTTTTTTAAAAGTCGTGATTGACAGATTTTGCTTGGTTGAGCAAAAATGCAAATAGATAGAAGAAAACATAATATTCCAATAACCCCCCCCCCCCCCCCCCCCACCTCTCTCTCTCCCCATTGAACCATATTGCAGCAGAGTAGAATTATTTGTTACTTGACTTGATAAAACGCTAAAAATATCCAAAGAATCAATCCATAATCATCAAATTTGTAGCGCCTTGCGCCTTTAATAATCAAATTTTGAACAATTAGTGAATTTTTAGGGCTATTTTTTGCAGGTATTATCTAAAGAAGGTACTAGTACTTTTAGAAGACTTTGTAGATCACAAAATCTCAATTTAACGATAACATACAAATATAGCTCATAAAGCACTGTCGGTGAAGATACTTTTTATTCAGATCATCCCTGCCCTTCGCTCCTTTTGTATCTTCGCCGCTCTCGGAATCCTCGGTATTTTCTCCGTCACCCTTTTCCTTTTCGCCGGCTGCTTCGCCTACGACCAGAAACGAACGGCCGCTTCCAGGGACGCCTGTCTGTGCTGTCTGAGACTGCCAGTGGATTATAAACCGAACCAGTGTAGTGAGAACCCTCTCTCAGTAAGAGTATTCGACAAGGTCATCGCCAGAGGGCTCTCCTACTTGCCTGTCAAGGTTAGCATCAAAAATCTATGATTTCAAAATAGATTTGCGTTCGAAAATCGATTTGGCAAAAGAGGTTGTCTTTGAAAGTTGGGGTGACTTAGATTTCTAGGGAGCAGGGAGCTACAAATCCGAAACTTACACACAATTACTTTCATGTATTTCTAAAAGAACGCTAGCAATTGTCTTTTAATCGAAAAAATGTTTTAATTGAAGATTAAAGGGATCTTATTCGTTTCTTATAGATCAGATTTTTGTTCGAAAAGACTCATGGTAAAATGTCTAATATCTTTTCTCTGTGTTCAGATAGTGGTGGTTGGAGTGGCTGTGGTTCTGTTGGGGTTCGGAGTGTGGGGGGTTGTGGAGATAGAGCAGGACTATCAGCAAGAGTGGTTCATCCCCAAGGGCAACTACTTCTACGACTACCTTCAGATTGCGAATGAGTACTTCCCAGACGACGGGTGGGACGGATACGTTTACATGGGTAAATACAACCAAGTATATTTCTACAATTCTATATTTCCGTATATTCCTTTCAAGATTTTGCTTCCAAAAACAAAAGAAGCTAATGATGTTTTGACAATTCCATCTTTCTTTTCTAGATATTCCTTTCATAATTGCTTCCAAAAATGAAAGAACAAGACGGCTATGTTGATTTGAAAAGTAGTCGAATCACCATTGCAACTTCAGAGCCGTTAAAGCAAAGTGTTTACCCAATTACGGATCGATATTGCAATTCTGACAAGTTGTCATTTTCGCGAAAACAGTTTTCCCCTAACTGGCGGGATATGCTTCAACTAAATTTTCGATTCATAAGCTTATGCAGACACCCTTTTTAACAAAAGTTAATACTTACCACAAAACTTTTTTTCTTCATTTTGAAAAGTAAGAATGAAAGACTGTTGAGGACTGGTACTTCTACCCCGTGACCAGTATTTTCTGAGTTTCTGCTCTTATAATAGTACTATTCAGCTCTTTTTATCCCCCCCCCCCCACCTTGCATGAGCATCAATTTTATTGTGAAGCTAGTGGTTTTACAAGGTTGAGTAACGAGACCAAATATGTTTGTCAAGGCCTAGTTATACCGCATGCCAATTTTCACAAAAGTTGGTAAAATCAAAAGAAATCTTTTACATAAAAAAATGGCAGATGGGGGCAGGAAAAAGAGCCTACTATTCTTATCTAATTCAGGTAATCCTTATTCAGGTAGCATCGACTACTACTCCAGGAAGGATGCCCTGCTGTCGATGGAGAGTGACCTGGGAGGGGTGAGGGGGGTGACTGGAGCCAGTCTGGACTTCTGGCTAGAGGCATTCTACGACTGGACTGCGGCCACTACCAACTCCACATACACTCCATACATCACTGCAGGTAAAAGAAGATAATAGTTTAATATAGTTGACTGACTTTTTAATGAAGAAAAAACAGGACAATAAAACTGGTAGTTTTAGGGCACTTTTTGAACGGTGTACATTAAGATCAAAAATATCGTGTTTTTAACGCGCTCCCTTCATCCTCACGAATTTGTATTAGTTCCTAAAGTTTTTGACCAATTTTAAGGATTGTTTTTGCTCAATTTTCTTCCGGCTCAGTTTTCTTCCTTTCTGTATGTCGGTTTTTCTTTCAAATGATAACTTCTTGAGTGATGCGATTTGGTCAGGTGAGCCGAGTAGCAGTGCCAACTTCGACCACCTAGTGCACCAGTTCATCACTGAGGTGGGAGAGGGCAGTGCTTATAGGTCTGATGTACAGTTCAACGAAGCAGACAACAGAGTACTCGTGAGTCATTTTTAACTGACCCTAGAGTGAACATATTTTGCAATTTTCTGCGCCACAAAAAATTTTTTGGTAGAAAAAATCGTTTTGTCAATGAGCATTTTGGATAATTTGGACAAAAAATGTTTTTTTTTGGCGCGCAACACTGAATGTTTATAAATCATTAACTTACAGTAAGTTTAATGCACTGATAAAGTTCTGCAGATTTAAAATGAAATATCGCTCACATATTCAATTGACAACAAAAATGTTTTTACTACTGCATAAAAAAGTTTTCTCGGGGAAAATATAATTGCATTGCAGTTGTTTGGAGTTTGTGCTGGGCGTTTATCAGTACCGAAGTACAACAGTGCTGAAACTGAAAATTGTTCACCAGTGCCGAAAATTAAGGATATTTGAAAATTTTGAATCTTAGTCTCAAATTGTTGGCAATTTGCTTGAATAATGTTTTGCTTTGGAGAGAAACCGAGAAGAAAATTTGACCATTTGCTGAGTTAATTGTTTATTCAGAAAATTTAATGACACCGGGCTCGGGAATTTTTGTAACAACAAGCGGCATCAATTAAAATGGCCATTTTTGATTTTTCAACTTCCGTCTATTTGAGTTAATTTTCTTGTCAGTGATTTGGGATGATTAAAAACAGTATTCAAATAATATTCGGCACCGTTGAACTACATTTTGATTTTCGGTACTGTTGTACTTTTGCACTGTTGTACTTTGGCACTGTTGTACTGTATCGCTTGTGCTATTGAGGAAAACTTTACCTTTTTCTTATCGTGATTTAAGCCTTTTGATATTTTTCCAGCATAAAGGGTGCTTTTTACATGATGGAAAAATTTCAACCAATAAGAATCGCTAACGTGCCTATTTGCTAAATGATTTTGCACAAAATTGATGTCAAAATTAGCAGAAAATGAATTTTAGCAATACATTCAATTTTATTCGTGCAAGTGTTGAATAAATTTTGTTTTAATTTTCAATTTTTAAATGGAAATGTTTTAAGTTTTTTGCAATACGTCTTGGATCTGACAAAATTTTAAATTTCATTGGTCTGCTTACTTTGCAATCATTCAATTTTAACTTTAATGGCCTGAATGTATTTCCTTAAACTGAGATTTTTGATCACTTAACTCTAATTAGCTGAAATTTTTTTTCCATCATTCGGTCTCTCTATTGTAAAAATTTCCACCCAGCTCATGTACCCGGTGAGATAATCTCATTTTTGTTACGACTTTCCCAGAAAGTAATAATTATCTATCCAGAGTGGTTTTTATTCAGACCAATTCTCAAAAATGTTTCCCTCGGGTGATCAATACATGAATGTTTTTGGTCTTAGAGGGAGCGCGCTCACCACTAGAATATCTTGACTTAAAGATGGTTGTGAGCCGCTCACTAAAAAACTAATGGGACTATAATAGCAATGTGATACTTTGATACTGAAATGTTAACGCGCATTATTTACGCGTGGCAAATTATCCAGCACCACAAAATCGTTCCAAGTTCAATTGAGGCAGGCTAATTGGTCTTATTGATTCCATAGACGATTCTTAATTTTTAGCTTAAAATTAGGGTCTGAGAGGGGCATTGTAAAAGATTTTTTAAAATCAAATAATGAAAAAATGCATGACCTGTACCGGCAAAAAAGGAACTGAAATTGATTTATGTAGAGATAATCTAGAAAAAACTTTTAAAAATTAAATTACTCTGATTTGATTCAAAATAAAAATTTAAGTTTGATACCAAAATATTGCAGCAAACAGGGGCAGATCTAGGATTTTCTCGAGGGTAGGGGCGAATTGAGTTACCGAGATGAGGTCCCAGAACGCTATAAAAACTCTATTTGGACAAAAAATTTCGTGCACTATTTTTAGGCACTTTTTGGAGCATTTTGATTTAAAAAATTGCAACTAAAAAAGCGCACTCCCCTCAAAATTAATATATATTGGAGCCAAATGCACCTTTAGAAATATTTTAGGGTCAGTCCGCCAAACATGGATTTCTTAAGAAGTGCCAAAGGGGGACCCTTTGGGTCAGCAGGGGTCGATACCCTGAGGGGGGCATCCGCTGGCTGCAACAATCAATTTCAATTTCATCAAAGCCAAATCAAAACGATATTTTTGCTGTTTTTCACAAAGAGTTGTATACAATTTTTGTACTTACTCGAATTGATTTAAATGCCTTTTAGGACTCTTTTCAAATGTTTAATATATAAACTTTGAAAGTTCACAGTCTAAATTTTCTAAGCATTTTATGCTGATTTTTACCTGTTTCAGTCTCAAAAACTTTCTGAACATTTCAACGAATACACAAATTATATACACAAAAAAATCAAGAAAAAAATAAAAAATTTTCTCTTTTCTACCAAATTTTCCACAGAAATGTATGATTTGCGGTACATAACTGTCCTTGCTTCCTGTTACACTGACAGAAATATCATTCTTGAGGACAATTTTATGTCAAGCTTTGCATCTTAAATCTACAAAAATTGTTCCTTCTTATGTCTAAAGAAAATGATTTTTTTTCCATCTGCTGAAAAAATCCGTTGAAATCTATTCCAATAATTTCATTGTGCAAATATGTTACCTTAAATCAATGTTATACTATTTAATTTCATTTTTTATCTGAAGTTGCTCAATAGGGGCTGTTTTTGCGTTCTTCAGACGGATTTTGTTAATCGCAATGAGCTGTCCCATAAGAACACCCAATAAAAGATCTTATAAAATCAAATAAAATATCTTTACCAAACAATCAATTGATGGCATGTCATGCAAAAATTAGATTTGTCTACTCGTGGTAATTTAAACTCCCTTGATGTCTCCAGTTTGCATGCATAAGGTGAGCGCAGTTATTTACTCAGCGATGTGAAGAAATTGCGATGGTTTTTACGACTGACCAATTACGAATGTGTGATGATAATTGGTACATTGATTTTTTATCTAAAAAGAAAGTATACCAATAACGGTTTAAAACAGGGGCACAACAGCTGTTCGCCGTATGAGCTGTACAGCTTTTGTGTTGGTCCTTTACCCAGTGGATAAATGGTCTTAAAAATATTACAAACCATTTTAAAAAGTTAAAGATGTAGTTTTTTTTCGAGTTAAATAATAATTTGACCAATTACTTGCCCTGAATTCTTCACATCGCGTATGAAACAAGCCAGGTGAAAATCAAGGCGTAATTTACCGCGAGTTGACAAAATTTAATGTGTCTAGACAATCTTGAGGGGAGCGGTGGTGAAGTGGTTACGTCTCCGCCTCTCAATCGAAAGGTCGGATGTTCGCGGCCCACCATGATCCGTGCTCGTTGCTTGAGGGTGAGGCAATATTACCCAGCCCAGAAAAATAACCAAAAAAAATTGCATGTAGTTCTTAAACAGGGGCACAACAGCGGTTCGCCGTGATGAGCTGTACAGTGTGCTCTTAATGTGCGTAGAATAGATATTTGAGAGGGGCATTGTAGATTTCTGCCAAAATATTTGATTTTTTAATGTTTATTCTTTTTATGCTTTAATTCCATTAATAATTAGAATCAGCAACTTTACTTACTTTTGACTGAAAACACTAAACTTAGTAGTTGGACGCCCATGATGGCCGTTTTTTAGGTACTATTGTGATTCTTGTTGTCTTTCATTGACTAACCGTCATTAATTTGGTATTGTTGTGTGCAGAGGTCCCGCATGTCAGTGAAGTTTGCCAAGACGGAAACTTCCTCGGAGGGCATAGGAGCCATGGACAGGGCCAGAGCCGCAGTGGACGATGGGTCCCTGTGGAGTGCGGAAGACGTGTTTGTGTTCACAGATGCCATGCTCACATGGGAGGGCGACAAGGTATATACACATTTGATACAAAACACAAGAACAATGCATGTTGGTAAGGCTTGAGTTTTCAGAGCGTCAGATCGTGTGTTCGATTCCCTGCTATAGCAATAATGGCGGGAGGATGATCTCTCAGTTGACCACCAGCTTCGGGTCTAAAACAGCCTGCCCGATTTAGGCTGCAATATGGGATTTTGTTGACACCAAAAAACTCTCTCGAGTCGCCAAAAAGATCTTTGCTCAGCGAAATGAATCAGTTGGAATGTGAGAAATAATAGGGACTATCTTTAGCAGCCTTTGATAGGCTGAGCAGCCTTTGGTAGTTCCTCTGCGATTCAAAGAAACAAAAAACGTCTGAAATCGTTTTTATTTCTTGAAAAACTACCCGCCCCCTCAAGAATTTCTTAAAACCGACCTGTCTATAATGTATAATGTTTATGAAGTTTCTGCGATCTTCAAATGGACGAAAAGTTATATCTTATCTGCAGGTCATCAGACTGGAACTGTTCCGGAACGTGGGTCTGGCATTCGTCGTGGTCTTCTTGGTGTGCATGGTACTAATCGCCAACATCGTCACTGTGCTACTCGTGTTGGCTTGTGTCATGTTCACACTAGTCAGTATACTTAATCATATTTCATGCGAATTAATTGAAACTTTTGATATCATTGCTTTTTATGGAAGGCAACTTTAGTTGGTACCTTTGCACCATGGTTTAACAACTGATGGATGCAAAGGTTTGATCGAAATTATTTTTCCATTCCTCAGTGGTCAAATGATTTGTCTTGAAAAAACTGACCGATTAATTTTCAGCTATTTTTTCATACAGTTTGAATAAAAGAAGCTGCTAAAATAAAATCAAAATTGACTAAGAAAAGATTGCGAATATCAAGTTTTGAGCTCGGGCTGCAAGCTTAACCTTCAAATATTTTCCCCATCGCCATTTAACTTTAATGGTATCGCGACAAATTCTTGGGTCGAGGTGTTCCATTTATATTGGGACCGTCTCGACCAAATATTGGCATGTTTTGATCGTCTATGCTAAATTTCGGTATTATTTGACTTTGTCGGCCAAATTTCGGTATGTTCCGACTTTCTCGACCCAAGAAAAAAGTGTTCGACGTTGCTCGACCCAGTTCAGACACATGTTTCTAATTTATTGATCAAATTTGATAATTTTTTATTATCTTGTACTTTTTTGATCCCACATAGATATATTTTGACCTTTTTTACCAAAAAATTGTAACAGATTGAACAAAAAAATTGACCAAAAAAATTAAATAAAAAAAATAAAATACTTTTTTTCATCAATTCATCCCCTCAAACGGTACTATGAACTGCCAAGGGATTTATTTAGCGTCTGTACCACCAATATGATCGAATGACTTGCCTGAATTCAATTCGGAACGCATCAATCCACCACTTACGCGTCTTATAGGTACGCAAAATATCGCGCGTTAATTATCCCAAAGTGGCCAAATTAGCAATCTTCAAACCCCCATATTTTTACAAAAAAGGTGTTTTTTTTTCATTTGGGCTCCGGGTAACTGGAGATGATATTAAAAAAACTCTCGTCGGATGAGCAAGTTAGAACAAAAAAGCTCATATCAGGGCGAAGCCCTGAATGTTTCGACTGCCTTTTAAGTTCTGTGGAGTAGCGTTTGCTCTGAAAAAAATAATTGTTTTTTTTTCAAAACCATCCCCCTACACGATTTGTAAAGTAAAAATATATCGATATTCCGTCGTTTTTTTTTCAATAATTTGAACAACAAAACTGTTCATATCAGGGCCAAACCCTGGATATTCCGACTGCCTAGCAAGGTCTATGGAGTAGCGTTCCCTTCAAAAAAAATTGTTAAGTTGTCAAAAAAAAAACATAATTTTTGTCGTATTTTTTTTAAAAGTCATTTCCCCACAAGCTACAAACTACCAAATAATGAAATTTCTACATAGCCAAATCAAAACAGCTCAAATAACACGCTTCAACTTGTTTTGGAACAATTTCTATGCCGAATTATATTTCCGCTGTCTTGTTAATAGCACAAAATACATCGCGTGCTAACAGGCCAAAACCAGCTTAACTGGCATTTTTTTATACCCATATAATTTTATAAAAAAACTATCACAAATAAAAAAAAATTGTATGATTCTTTCACAGTTTTAAATGATTGTCAAGGGGCTTTCAATTCCTGCACTAGTTGAGATATTTGAGCTATGGATTGAGCAGTTCTAGTAGTTTGAGTAGTTCCAAAGTGCTGGTCGGTACTACTGCTGTGTTTTGCAATTTAACAACAACAATATAAATTATTATCATAAAAATCATAATCATAAAAAAATATTTAAAAAAAATCATAATGGTAATCATAATAAACATGATATAAAACTCATAATAATAATAATAACAAAACTGCTCGTATCAGGGCGAAACCTTGAGTGTTCCGACTGCCTTTTAAGTTGCATAGAGTAGTGATTGTTTTGAAAAAAAGATAAAATTTTCAAAACACCTTTTGTTTTCAGTCTTTATTAGTGAAAATTATCTCCCATGCGCATATAGCAGAAGATTAAATGAACCAAATAGCATGCATCCAATAAATTTGGAACAATTTCTAAGATGGATCGAACCTCCGTGTACGCGGTATAGTAGCACAAAAAATGCCGAGCGTTAATTATCTCAAATTGACGATCTTTAAACCCGCACAACTTTACAATTTATCTTTTTAAGTTTGAACTCAAAGCGATGCAACAATAGCTTTTGACTGATATGAAAAAATTCAGTCAGAAAATTGTGTTAAAAACTCGAAACGTTTGTAAAGAAAAAACATTCCCGAGCACAAATAATCCGTCACTTTCTTCAAAAGTTGGAACGATAATCATAATTATATTAATAATAATAATCATAATAAAATTAATAATCATCATAATAATAATTTTAATGAAAATAACATGATTCATAATAACAATAACCAGGCTTGTTTTATCAGGGCAAAGCACTGAAGATTCTAACTGGCCATTAATTTGTCTCAAATCGTTTTTAGTACATGAAATTATTACAAACTAAATTTTAGGCTGATAAAATCAAAAAGTTATAACTTCAGTCGTTTAAGGAATTAATAAGACCAATTAGCTCGCCTCAATTCAATTTCGAACGATAATGAAAAAAATTATCATATTGTTATTTCAGCAGCAAAGACGCACTTTAGTCGAGTGTAAGTATACTCGCTTGGAAATCACAATATTTCAGGATTGATGCCCATACGCATTCTATTGTTCTAAAATTGGCGTGAGTGAAGAAAACGCCCCGGGTATATATATTCCTGATTTTCTGCGAAAGTCGGAACAATAATCATAATCATCATAATAATAGTGATAAAAATAATAAGACTGCTCGCATCAAGGCGAAGCCCTGAATGCTTCGGCTGCCTTTAATGTCTATGGAGCAGTAATAACATGAAAAAAGTTCAAATTAAATGTAACAAAACAAAATAAACGTTTTTTAATAGAAAATTGAGATTTGTAAAAACCATCCCCCACACGCCATACAAAGTACAAGTGATAAATTTTACTCCTAGTAACAAATCAATTATGGCAAATAAGCTTTCGTCAACAATTTTTAAGACGGATTGAATCTCCTGTTACAGGTTAGTAGCGCGAAATATATCGCGCGTTAATTGTCCCAATCTAGCCAAAGTTGCCATCTTCAAGCCCCCATAATTTTACAAAAAATGATCACAAGTGAACTATCTTTTCAAGTTTAAGCTCAGTATAACATTAATTACTGAATGATATAAAAAAATTCCGTCAAAAATGGCTAGTAAAAAGTCGAAATTTGTCTGAAGAAAACAACCACCCCGAGCACAAATATTTTTTAACTTTCGTTAGGAAAGTCGGGACAATAATCATAAAAAAATAACTTGTTTTTAATTGCGGTTTGTTAGATTGATTATATGGTATAATTCATCAATTATCGAGCACCGAGGGAACTTGAACGGACGCTGAAGGCTCTACAGCCTGTTAGAAAGCGCTGTATTAGAGCGTTACTGTTTTATCCTAGTAACCATTTGTCAGTGAATTTTTACACTATTTTTATTTTCAAAGGGAAAAACAACAAGACTGCTCGTATCAGGGTGAAGCCCTGAATGTTCCGACTGCCTTTTAAGGTTTATGGTGCTGCAGTAATAACATAAAAAATTAAATGAAAAATTTTTTTTAATCTTGAATTTTTTAAATTAAAATCATCCCCCCACACGCCATATAAAGTACAAAAAGATAGATTTCGTTCCTTGTAACAAATCAGTTATGGCAAATAAGCTTCTTTCAACCAATTTGGAACGATTTATACGACGGATTAAATCTCCGCTTACGCGTTAATAGCGCGAATGATATCGCGCGTTAATTGTCCCAAATTGGTCAAAATGGCCAAAATGGCAATCTTTAAACCATCATAACTTTACGCAAAATGATCACAGGTGAAATATCTTTTCAAATTTGAGCTCAGGACAACAATACCTTTCGAATGATATAAAATAACTCCGTAAAAAATTGCTAGCTAAAAAGTCGAAATTTGTCTGAAGAAAAAAAAACCCACCCCGAGCACAAACATTCCGTTACTTTCGTATCGAAAGTCGGAACAAAAATAGTGTATTGGTCTGTAATGAAAGGGTGTGAGCAATTTTTAATGAAAACATGCGCAGCATTTGCTTGGTAAAACAGCGATAGGCAGCTTTCAAATGTACAATTAGCGTAACAAATTGTCTATCACTCAAGAATATCACGAGCTGTCTCAGCGGCAAAACAATTAGACGATGACGTTCAAGCGACCTCAAGTAATTAGCTAATAATTAAACTTGGTAAAATATTCATGACCTGGTTCCGATGAACACAATTAAGTCTATAACTACACATCACTGTTTCTAATTGTACACATCATAATTGTACACTAAGCTGGTGCACATACAACAGCGAAAAAAACAACAACACCTAATCATTCCTAATTTTCTGCTGTGGTTGCAGGTTGACGTGATTGGTTTCCTGCACTTCTGGGGAAATACTATCAATGTGGTGACCACTATTATGGTCATCCTGGCAGTGGGTCTGGCTGTGGACTACGCTGCCCACATAGGCCATACATTCATGGTCTCCACCGGAACCAAACAACGTTAGCCGTGATACATTTATTTTGATCGACCCATATGATCTTGATTTTGTGCCTTAAGGTTGAATTGACTAAAAACAGCCAGAGGTTTTTTCTGAGTTTCGAGTTTTTCCTCAAATAAGTTCACAAATAAAATCTTAAAAGTAAATCAAGAAGAAACTAAGGAAACCAGTAACTTTATTGAGCCAAAAATGCTATTGAAATGCATTTCAGTTTATATCTCAAGCTACGAGATTGACAAAAAAAATACAATTTATATTTTTCCGATTTTTGTTTTTCGAAGTTTGAGTTTTCCAAAACTAAACAACGACGATGAACTTGTTTGCTGTAGGTTTTGTCGGCCTGTCGATTATAATATCTTGTTTTAGAAAGAATGCGGGTGACCTTGCGTGACATCGGGACAGCCGTGTTCAACGGTGGCTTCAGCACATTCCTCGCATTCTTCCCCCTCGCGTTCGCCACCTCATTCGTGTTCCAGAAGTTCTTTCAGGCATGCAAACTAGGACAAATTTTTATGTCATCGCCCAAAATATCGGACAAGCGTTATCACTGTTAAAAAATTTATATTGCCCAAGGTATAAATAACCAAGAAGGGAACAGGTCATTTGCTGATGATAAAAGCACCCAGATGATAAAAGCACAGGTCATTTTCTGTTGACCCCGAGAAGTTAAGAAAGACTTGGTACATCAATTCTTATATCCCGAAGTTTTCATCGATTCTATTCGTTCGAATCTCAAAACTTAGTTTGCATAAAAAGGCGCTGCGCCGCGAAACTTGAAATCGAATATTGAATGAATACCGGAGGGAGAGCGTGTCAGTGCAATTAGATAAAAAAGACCCTCAGAAAATCAAGTAGGATATTCAATTTGACTCGCATTTTCATGGATGACCAAACGATACGTGCAAACCAAATCCATACCTTGCCCCCTTCCCTCTTTTTACGCTCTCTCGGTTGTTTCTGTAGATCTTCTTCCTAGTTTCCCTGTTCGGTCTGTTCCATGGCCTCATTTTCCTCCCAGTCATGCTCAGTCTCGTCGGCCCCTCCCCCTATCTGTCGGCACAACAGCGTCAACAACAACAGCAACAGCAACAACAACATCAGAAAGAGTCAATCAACCCAACATCGTCATCAAATGAAATGCACAAGGTATGGTTGAGTTGCACGCTGTAGGGAGAAAAGATATCACATTTTTTTAAGTAGGCAAAACGATGATTCAGCGAAAGCCAAATTTCTTTATAGACGACTGTTTGTTAGAAAAGTAGTAGCGTGCCGAGGAGAGGGGCGGGTCGACTGTTCCAGTCCCCTTAACTCTGGTTGCTAAATTTTCCCAAACGGCCCCCTTCGATATAATTTTCCGAAATCCATTTATAACGGACCAACAACCTTAAAAATATTAATCTATTTTTTGGTCATTTTTTTTAAATGCAAAAAACGTCTCTTTTAGCCTGTTTGTTTGTCAAAATTTCGCCTGTCGCGCCGAAAAATTTGGGAAATACAGTCCTTATAAAATTTTCAGAGAGCTTGGAAACCTGAAATTGGTCAACCTAAAAACATTCAAAAAACCGCTCCCCTGGAAAAATTTCTGCGCATGTCACTGAGAAGAAGGCTACGGTCCTCATTGCGCAGCTATTTGCGCCGGTCGGCAAAAATTAGAAATAAAATATTAACTGCAATTTTTTTTCTGAACAGTATTAAAAATTTCATTCTCAAAACTGTTACCTTTTCGTCTTTCAGGCAGAAGATAAAGCAACGGAAGGCGGAGTGAACAACTTTGGATTTGTTACCAAAGAGTGATGAATCATAAATCACCAACGACCAAACAGTCATCCGACTACATCTCAAAACTAACTTACCAAATAATTAATGATAACAATAATCATATCCTTATTTGGATGAAAAAAACTGAAGCTTCCTTGAGTTATACCAGTATGCATTAGAGCAGCGGCGGATCTAAGATTTTCTCGAGGGGGGGGGGGGGGTGCGGATTGTCAAAGAATTTTCGTCGAAAATTTTGTCGACTTTTTTAGGTTTTAGGTCGACCAAATTGATTTTCTGAGCTTTCCCAAATCTATGAAGACCCCATTTTGACCTAAGTTTCTGCGCCGCAGCAAAATTTTCGAAGAAAAACAAGCCAAAGTTTTTTCGGCGCGCGCTCCCCATCAATTTGAGTATATTTTGGCGCCTTTAGAACAATTTTAGGGTCAGTCAGCCAAAAAGGGATATCTCAAAATAGTACAAAGGGGGACCCTTTGGGTCGGCATGGGGTCGAATCCCTGAGAAAAAAGAACGACCAACCAAGCAGGTTTTTGCACGTAATTCACCCAAGGTTGATTTTAGATAAATTTGTTAATCTCTTCTGCGAAACGCAAAGGATCAATCAAAAGCTGCTTATTCTTCCGAATTTCGAAGACAGTGAGGAATATCTATACATGGGGTATTTTTTTATTATATTCAGACCAATTTTACAAAGTGGATCTATCCCAGAGTTGTGGATTGCCAATCGAGTGTGCTTGCCACTTGTCTAAATGCGGCTGGAATGGTGTACGGCCAGCAATTGAACAAGTAAGCAGGCGACAAATTTTTGCAAAAAATCGAATTTGGACTAAAAAAACGATGTCAAGAGTGATTTTGAAACAAGCTTGAAAAGCACTTTTTTTATATACCAGAAAAGCTCTAACTCAGTTGATTTTTGAGACTGTTATGAAAAACAGTTCGTTTAAAAATGAAAGAAAAAAAGATCGCCTAAGATTAAAAAATAGTAAATTTGTCTGCTTACTGACCTGTTTGCTTTCGCGGTTGTCGACTTGCTGCTAGAACCGGTTACAATAGCTCGATTAATAATTAATAGTTTCAGTTGGCGTACTTTTTTTGCGTTGCGACATATCCCACAATCTTAATCGTTTCAAACTGAATTGAAGCAAACCATTTGATCATATTAATTTGACGGACTTCAGATTTGATATTACAGTCTAAAATTTGCTAACTATCAAATGTTTTTCTAACAACATTTTTTCGAGAGTAGCTCAAGGGCAGTCGAAACATTCACGGGTTTGACATTTAAGCGTCGAATGATACCTCGGGATTTCTACAATTAATCCCTCCTTATGGTCTGTGGTTATATATGTACTTTTTTGATTATTCATAAACGGAGGCTGACACAACTGTTTCTGAACAGGTTGCTCATCAACGATCAAGGCAACGAAATTAGTAAGCTATGTGCAATTTTTTTAGTCTCGAGTCTCATATACAATTAATAAAATTATTTAAAAAAAAAACAGTTTTTATTACGTCAACCTTATTGAATTTTGCCACTTTTTTTCACTTAAGATAAATTTTTCTTTTTATGATAGTTTTCGTTGTCCTATTCTAGATTTTTTACAGCGAAAGTTTTGGACAAAACTTTCTTCAAATTTTTATGAGACCAAAAAGCTTTGAAATAGGTTTAGCAACTTATTTTCAACACGATCCATAGTTATGTTTTTTTTGTTGAGCAACATTCAAACATCGTACAGGGAAAAAACAAAGATAATTCAATGAATTTGATTCTGCTGATTTTGCTTTCAGAGCAGAGAAACAAAAATACTTACTAGAGCATCATCAATGCAAAGTGTCGCAAACACGAATTCCGCTACTGTCAAAAAATTCAAAAATATTAGCCATTATTGCTTTTAATTATGACCGAAACAAATTGTTTTCGAAGATATTAAGAGTATATTCGCCTACAAGACAAAATTGTAAATTTTTCAGCATGGGACTCTAACTCCTTAGTTCCTGAAAAAAAAGTCTTATAGCGGGGTGGTAAATAAAACCTTGATACAATCATTTTCTGTCCTAGTTCTACAATCGTAGCATTTGCTACGGGTAAATCAATTTCGACTGCTTGAACTGTTTTGATTTGAGCTGAACCGAACCATTCTTCCACTTCCTCCAGTTTTTCTGTTATTTGTCTGAACTTTTTCAATTTATATCTGAATTTTGTTTGTTCCATTGAACCATGTTTCAGTTAAGTACAGGATATTAATTGGAGAGTCGCGATTACTTAAATGTGCTGCCAGAAGTTCCAGATGTTTTTTAATTGATGGAAAAAGTAAAATTAACATCACACTTTTTTGAAGTTTTGCCCCTGAGTTTTTAGGTAATTTCTTGTATTTTGTTTCCTAGAAGAACTATTTTCTTGCCAAATCAACTCGTGAAATTGTTGATGAGGTAGACGAGTACGGTTCCTCCACCGTTTAAGATGTTTATCATGTGCAAAAACCTTCCAAATGTAGTTAATCACCGCATCCCGAGTTCAAAGTTTTCCTCCGTGTTCATCTTGTTTCATCATATGAAAAAAGTCATTCTTGGCTTTAAAACATTTTCAAAAACTCGTACAAGTTTCATCAGGTTCTGACTCTGCGGCAACACTTTATTCTTTCTGAAGATGTTAGTGTGCGGTATTGAGAATCGGGTATTTATAGGCTTGGATACATAATCTTTTGAGGGTAAGCGACGTGCTGTTGACCAGAAGCGAATTTAGGGTGAGGGGGCGAAGGGGGGGGGGGGGGGGGGGGGGTCGGGCGGACGCCCTCCTTTCTCAGAGATTCGACCCCCTGCCTACCCAAAGGGCCCCCTTTGGTACTTTTTAAGAAATCCATTTTTGGCTGACCGACATTTTCCAAAATTTTCCAAAAAACGCCCTAAAACGGTTTTTGTTCACCTGTTTTTTCAAAAATTTGCCTGGCGTCTTTTAGTGCTTTAGGAGAGCTCGGAAAATCAATTTGGTTGACCTAAAAAAAGAAAGAAGGTCGTCAACTGCCAATTGCGAGAGAGGCTTCTGTGTTAACCGCGTTCGATATGCTTCTCACTTTTCACATTGTTGCATTTGAAGTCCTGATCTGCTACTTTCTTTCAGGCCAATAACTATAATTGTTTTTTCTTTGCTTCATAGTTTTCCAGATTTTCACGATCCATCAATGCCTTACGACAGCTTTTAGAGTCTAATAAATCAATCTCCGACGTGACTCTGTTCATTTAATCAGACTTAAGTTATAATACTTCATCTTTTGCCATTGAAAATCTTGATGACCTCAATTCGTTCTTCAATAGATTAACAATAACTGAAATCAAGTTTCTAACAACTTAACTGAAATTTTCAATCATCACTTATCACTCATTTCTATTCCTGGAGAGGGCTCCATGCAGTACAGGCGCGTTTTTTCCTGCCTTTTCATTGACTGGGAAAACAGGGGTTTCATTGCAAAATTGCTAGATCGACGAGTCTGCTTGCTTATCGTGCCATCATGATTTTGAGCACCTATTTGGCCTTTCTGAAAAAATTCATAAAGTTCATACACAAAAACTTGAAGAGGATAGTGAATGATTATCAAGAAAATCAGAAAATTTAGGCAAACTATTCGTAGTTTTCAAAAATATTGGGTTTTCAATATGTACACACATTATTGCCTATGATGATTTTGTTTTTCTCAATTTAGATAAATCAAAGATTATAAAATATGAACTGAAAAAACGAAAAATGAATCAGAAAGAAGCGGGGCAAGAACCATTAATTGTGTTTCAGATTTTTTTGTGAGAAAGGCTGCAAACAATTGAAAAAATTGTGAGAAAGCTTGCAAACAATTGAAAAATTGCAAGTAAATGAAGGTTGCTAACGATTGAAAAGATTACATGAATCAAATAACGCTTATTTTCAGTAGTTCTAACTTTTTGCATTATTTGAGCTGTCTGAATTGAGAAAATCGAACAAAAAATTGTTTGAAATTTTCAAGTTACCTAAAAAAATAGTGATTTTTAACAAACTTTTTCATTTCAAAATTGCAAAAATTAAAGGGTCCATCAAGACTGTCAGAAAATTTTTCCTCAACTCAAAGAAACCATAAAATGAAATTATTCAATTTCACTTTCATCTGAAAAAAGTCCAATTAGAGAAAATTGGATCAGAAAGCTATTTTATTAGACCAGTAGGTTTATTGCCATCAATCCGCTTGTGAAACCACATTCCCATGTCTTCTACCATACTAATGTAAAAATTGAATGATAACTGAAATTGGCTCACTCAATTTAGCGTCATTATTTTCTGAAACAATTCAATTCACCATTCCAATTTGATGACGCCGTCGAGCCTCAAGTGACATCAAGTGCTGCCAAACTAGTTCACATCCGATCACATTTTCAACTACTTTTGTTTTCAGGATGGCGGGAGTAACACTTTGAGATCTCTTGCATAATTTAAAACTTTAACTAACTGTATTATGCGAAAAACACAGAACTTAAAGAAAGCACAGAAAATACGAAATTCCTTCACAGGAGCATAACCTTTCCAAAAAAAACGCATTATGCAAAGTTTTCTTTGCACCTCATTTCGTAAATAACTGCTTTGTTAACAACAATTCAATTCGCACGAGTTATTGTATTAACCAGGCGACAACGACTTACCTTATTTTGAGCGGATTTAACTCAATTTGCTCAAATAAAAAAGCTAAAGCTCATTTTCGATAATTGGATGAGGTTGGAAACAAAAAATATATATATTTAGGTTGCCTCAAATAGATAAACAGCTTTGTTGCAGTATTTTTACCTTCTCAAAAGATTTGAGCGGTTTGAATTGAGCAAGTCGAACAAAAAAATCAATGAAAATTTTCAAGTTACCTAAAAAATAACAATGGTTTTGGAAAAAAAATTTTGTTTTCAAGTTGCAAAATTAAATGCTCTATCAAGACTGTAAAACTACTATCCAACTCAAAGAAACCTTCAAATGAAAATTTTGATTTAAATTTTCATCTGAAAAAAGTCCACTTAGAAAAAATTTGATCAGAAAGCTATTTTATTACTCAACTAGGATTTTTGCCATCACTCAGCATGTGAAACCACATTCTCACGTCCTCTACCATAACATCGTAAAAAATAAATAAACACGGAATTTGGCTCACTCAGTTTAGTTTAATTAGATTTCTGAAACAATTCAAATC